CTTTTTTTCAAAACTAGAAGCTATACTATTTTGATTTGGGTAGAGTATAGATCTTCAAAGTCCCCATCCCCACCGCAGCAAGGCATGGTGGCATACATCCTCAGCTACTCAGGAAACTGAGGCAGGAGGATCTTATGTTTATGGCTTAACTGAGCTACTTAGCAAGACCCTGTCTCAAAAGAAAAAGGGTTGGGGATATCACTCAAAGATAGTGTCCCTTGGTTCAGTTCTCAAAAAGATTTTATAGTGTTAGTGCTGTTAATAGAGAAACTATGAGATTTACCGGGGAGGGTTTTTTTGTTTGTTTTGTTTTTTGGTACCAGGGATTGAATTCAGGTGCCCTCAACCATTGAGCCACATCCCTAGTTCTTTTCATTTATGTATTTACTTACTTATTTTTATTTTGAGACAGGGTCTCACTAGTTGCTTAGGACCATGCTAAACTGCTGGACGCTGGCTTTGAACTAGCAATTCTCCTGCCTCAGATTCCCAAATTGCTGGGATTTCAGGTCGAAGAGATATTTTAAGTTGAAATCTTAGGAATGAAAAATAAACAGGTGTCAGTGGAAGAAAAGAATTGAGGCTAAAAGTATAGTGTTTTGAAGGAACTGGAGGGAAACCAGTAAAGTGGTGAGCAAGAGAATATGGGACCTGTGGGCACAGAGGAGGCAGGCCCAGGGTGGGCAATGAAAGACCATTACAAGCAAATGGAAGACACTAGAGAGTCACAAATTGATAGTTTCATGCCATTTTTTTTTTTAATTTTAATGTTTATTTTTTAGTTTTCAGCAGACACAACATCTTTGTTTGTACATGGTGCTGAGGATGGAACCCTGGCCTCCCGCATGCCAGGCAAGCGCTACCGCTTGAGCCACATCCCCAGCCCGTTTCATGCCATTTAGGTTGTTTGGTTTTGTTTTGTTTTTGCAGTGCTAGGAATTGAACCCAGGACCTCGCACATGGCTAGGCAAGCACTTAACATTGAGCCACATCCCTTGCCCTGGTCATTTAGTTTTTTTGTTGTTGTTTTGCTATGTTTTGCACCAAGGATTGAACTCAGGGGCACTAAACCACTGAGTCACATCTTGTATTTTATTAGAGACGGGGTCTCACTGAGTTGCTTAGGGCCTTGCTTTTGCTGAGGCTGGCTTTGAACTSACAATTTTTGTGTCTCAGGCTCCTGAGCCACTGGCAATACAGACGTGCACCACTGCGGCTGGTTTATCTAGGTTTTAAATCACTCATTGTGCTGTGTGAAAATTTGATTGAAAAGGAGCAAGAAGCCAGGCATGGTGGTGCAAACCTGTAATCCCAGTGGTTCAGGAGGTTAAGGCAGGATGAGGATGGAGAGTACAAAGTCAGCCTCAGCAACTTAGTGAGGCCCTAAGTAACTTAGTGAGACCCTATCTCAAAATATAAAAAGGTTTGGGAATGTGGCCCTGGGTTCAATCCTCGACATGAAAAAAAAAAAAAGAAGAAGTGCAAGCATCTACTTAAGTAAAAGTTACTACTTTTAGTTATAATTTGGCTTTTTTCTTTTTCCTTTACAAATTAATATTTTTTGAGCCAGACACAGTGGTGCAGGCCTGTAATCCCAGTGCCTTGGGAGACAGGAGAATTATGAGTTCAAAGCCACCCTCAGCAAAAGTGAGGTGCTAAGCAACTCAGTGAGACCCTGTCTCTGAATAAAATTATAGGGCTGGGGATGTGGCTCAGTGGTCAAGTAACCCTGAGATCACTCCCTGGTACCAAAAAACAAAAACAAAACTATTTTTTAGTGTGTAATGCTGGGCATGGAAACCAGAGCTAAGCATGTGTTCTACTGCTGAGCTATATTCCTAGCCCTCTTCAAGAATTCAAGACAGGGCTGGGGATGTGGCTCAAGGGGTAGCGCGCTCGTGTGGCCCGGGTTCGATCCTCAGCACCATATACAAACAAAGATGTTGTGTCCGCCGAAAACTAAAAAAAATAAATATTAAAAAATTCTCTCTCTCTCTTAAAAAAAAAAAAAGAATCCAAGACAAATGAAGCTGGGGATGCAGTGGCACATTCCCGTAATCCCAGTTACTTGAGAGACAGTTCAATTGAAAGTTCTATTCCAGCCTGGGCAGTTTAGTAAGACCCTGTCTCAGAATAAAAAGTAAAAAGGGGCTGTAGGTCAGTGGTAGAGGTCTTGCCTTGCATGTGTGAGATACGGGGTTCAATCTTGAGTACCACATAAAAATAAATAAAATAAAGGTATTGTGTCCATATTGTGTACAACTAAAAAATATTTTTTAAAAGGGGTGGGGCAAGCCAGGCGCAATGGCACACGTCTGTAATCCCAGTGCCTCAGGAGGCTGAGGCGGGAGGATTGTAAGCAAAGAGAAGGCGCTAAGCAACTCAGTGAGACCCTGTCTTTAAGTAAAATACAAAATAGGGCTGAGGATGTGGCTCAGTGGTCAGGTACCCTGAGTTCAATCCCTGGTACCATAAACAAAAAAACCACAGCATAAACAGAAGCGAGTAGAAAGCTACACAAAAGGGAATTTTAAAAAATATTTTGTTTTTAGTTGTAGTTGTATTTTATTTTTATGTGGCGCTGAGGATCAAACCCAGTGCCCCGCACATGCTAGGCGAGTGCTCTAGCCACAACCTCAGCCCCACAAAAGGGAATTTTAATTATATCTGTGACATGATGTTTTTTTTTTTTTTCTTGGTACTGGGAATTTAACCTAGGGGTCCATTACCACTGAGTCACATTCCCAGTCCTTTTTATTTTTCATTTTGAGACAGGGTCTCACAGAGTTGCTTAGTGCCTCACCATTGCTGAGGCTGGCTTTGATCTCGTGGTCCTCCTGCCTCAGCCTCCTGAGCAGATGGGATTACAGGCCTGTGCCACTGTGCCCCGTTGATAAATGCAAATTTAGGTGGCTGGTACAAAATATTTGAATTATTCTTAATACTTCTTTTTGTGCCCCAAAGTAGTAATAAGCCAAGATTCTGTTTTCAAAAACTAACACTGGGCTATGACTCAGTGGTAGAGTGCTCACCTAGCATGTACGAGGCCCTGGGTTCGATCCTCAGCATCACATAACAATAAATAAATAAAATAAAGGTATTGTGTCCAACTACAACTAAAAAAATAAATATTTAAAAAAACAAAGGTACATTGAAGCCAGGGGCTTGGTGGTGCATGCCTGAAATCCCAGTGGCTCGGGAGGCTAAGACAGGAGGATCACAAGTTCAAAGCCAGCCTCAGCAACTCCGTGAGATGAGACCCTGTCTCTAAATAAAATAAAAAGTAGGGATGGAGATGTTGCTCAGTGGTGGAGTGCCCCTGAGTTAATCCCTGGTATTAAAAAAAAAAAAAGTACATTGATTTACACAGTGTTACATCTATTTCATGTATTAATTTAATAAACAATTTGTGGCACTAGATTGCTGCTCTCACTCTGAAAACCCAGTTATTTGCATTACATTGTAAAAATAGGTAAAAGGAGTGATTGTAATCCAAATGAGTTAATGCCACTTTGTCCTAGCCTAGGAATGTTAAGAGGGAGGCATAATCCTGAAAATCTGTCTTCTAGATTGGTGAAGAATGAAGATAGTAATGTGGAAACTAACAAAATGAGACAGTCTTATAATTTGGTTTTAGCTCAGTTGATTTGAACATTGAAGAAGTTAAGTTCAGTGGTATGGATTTTTTTCTTTTTGGTATTAGTTTTATTGTCCTGTGGCTAAATCCTTCTCTTACCCAATTATTACTAATCTTCTCAAATATGTATACCATTCTTTCATTACACTACAAGGAACATGTAGACTAGTACAGCTGGAAAGCAATTTGGCAACATGTATTAAGAACTCCCTGCAAGAGAGTTCCTTGAAATATTGTTATTCTTTTTTTTTTTTTTTTTTTGAGAGAGAGAGAGAGAGAGAGAGAGAGAGAGAGAGAGAGAGAGAGAGAGAAAATTTATTTATTTATTTATTTGATCGAACCCGGGCTGCATGCATGCCAGGCAAGCGCGCTACCGCTTGAGCCACATCCCCAGCCCCGAAATATTGTTATTCTTAACAGCTTGTTTGAAATTTCTTCAAAATAAAAAATTAATAATACAAATGTGTCTATTTTTGACTCATAATCTTGGTGCGGGAGATCGAACCCATGGCCTGCGCATGCTAATCATGCATTCTACCAACTGAGCTATTATCTCCAGCCCCATATATTTATTTTAATATTTTTTTTAAAATTTTTTTAGAGAGAGAGAGAGAGAGAGAGGAGAGAGAGAATTTTAATATTTATGTTTTAGTTTTCGGCGGACACATCTTTGTTTGTATGTGGTGCTGAGGTTCGAACCTGGGCCACACGCATGCCAGGCGAGCGCGCTACCGCTTGAGCCACATCCCCAACCCAGCCCCATATTTAAAAATATATATATATTTTTGTAGTTGGACACAATACATTTATTTTATTTATTTTTATGTGGTGCTGAGGGCCGAACCCAGCGCCTAGCATGTGCAAGGCTAGTGTTCTACCGCTGAGCCACAACCCCAACCCCACCCCCCCAATTATTGGTGAGTTGTTTCCATTTAAGCCACGAAAACAAAATCATAATACTTTATGGTTTGGGCATAAGTAAAATATTTAAACATTTTTAAAAACGAAAGGGGAGTAAGGCTGAAGGAATTCAAACTTGCTCCGATTAATTTTAAATACACGAATTCCTCATCGTCCTTCCCTCCTATGGAAGTCACCCAGGTTTAAACAGAAGAGGCGAAGTCACCAGCCATAAATGCCTCCAGGAGCTGTCTGCGCATGCGTCAGTTTAAGGACCGGCAGGACTTCATGAGACCCAGGCTCTTTCCATTGGCTGGAAAGCCTCATAGGCTGGGCTGCACCGGCACCTAGCAGGAAGCGGAAGTCGGGTTATAAAGTAAAGGAAGTCAGAGAACCTGCTCTGGTTTTGTTGGCCCTGTTTTTCCACCGTCCTTTTTCTTAACTAAGTTCGGGACAGTTGCCCACCGACCTAGCATCGCTTTCACCATGGCTCTCAGCGATGCTGACGTGCAGAAGCAGGTGAGGGGCTGGGTTGGGTTTCGCGAATCTGAGGCCCCATCCTGGGGGAGGTGGGCAGAGTACGGATCGAAGAAGGCTTGGGCCTTAGACACGTCGATTGCTGCAGCTGGGTCCCTTACCCAAAGTCCTGGTGGTCTCTATGGGGGATTTGCCCCATAGCTCATGTGACTTCTGCTTGGGTCCTACGTACTGCCCGCTTGTTTGCACGCCTAGCTCTGCCCACCCATCTTAGTGGTCCCTAAGTACTCAGTGTACTTAATTGGACAGAGATCTGCGCAAAGATTGAAAACAGTGTTTTCACTTGAGTTTTTAACCCCGAGGGAAGGGCTCACGATATATGRTGGGAAAGAAACAGTGTTGTAGGAGAGCAGCTTTCAATGTTGTTTTGAGGTCATTCCCTTTATGCACTTTTTTTTTTTTAAAGAGAGAGTGAGAGAGGAGAGAGAGTGAGAGAGAGAATTTTTAATATTTATTTTTTAGTTCTCGGCGGACACAACATCTTTGTTGGTATGTGGTGCTGAGGATCGAACCCGGGCCGCACGCATGCCAGGCGAGCGCGCTACCGCTTGAGCCACATCCCCAGCCCCCTTTATGCACTTTGAATTTTTATTTTGAAGGAGTGTCTTCTGTCATAACGAATCTAGTTTGAATATTAATGCAAATGCAAAAATCTTGTTTTCTTGGATTTTTTTTCTTTCTTAATCACGGGGTCTTTTCCACTGAACTGCATTCCCAGACCTTTTTTTTTTTTTAAATATTTTAGTTGTGGCTGTTAATACCTTTATTTATTTATTTTTATTTTTTATTTTTTTATATGGTGCTGAGGATTGAACCCAGGACCTCGCACTCGCTAAGGCGCTTTACCGCTGAGCCACAACCCCCCCCCCCCCCCCCCCCCCCCCCCCCCCGCATAAATTCGAGGCTGGCCTCGAATTTATGACCCTCCTAACTCAGCTTCCCCAATCGCTGGAAACCGGCATGTGCCAACACGCCTGGCTCTTTTTCTTAAATTTATGAGCCCCAGCACCTAATGTTGTTTGATACAAGGTCGGCGATTCAGAATTTTTGGAAAAAATTGTCATGCAAGTCTTGAACTTACATCACTTTTGAAAGTGAATATACTCAATCTTGAGAAACTTGTTTAGCTTTTAAAAATGCACCATACCCTTAAGTTGCAGGCATTAGGAGTATTCTAAGATACCTGACACAGGAGGCTGAGGCCAGGGCACAATTTGAGCCTAAGAGTTCCAGGCCAGCCTAGACAACATAGTAAGACCCCCGCAACCTTGTCTCAAAATAAGAAAAATGGAAAGGAATGTTGTAACTGCAAAAGCCTCTCCTAGGAGTATAGTGGTGTTGACATGTCTATAACAAGGGAATGGTCTTGCTAATTGATATCCTGAAACAAGGGTTCTAGTGTTTAATAATCGTGTTGCCAGTAGACTTTTCAGAGAAGGAAATTGTAAGGCTGCAATTTAATATCTGTGGAGAACTGAACCTACTTTTTTCCCCCAAGTACTAGGAAAATTCTCTGACTAAAGCACACTCAGTAGCTTATGAATCTTCTTAGATGAGCAATAAAATGTTTTTTCCTTTGATGTTTCCATTTCCTTATTTAAAAATAATTCTTTTCATTTTATCCCTAACCTAATATTCCCTAAGAAGAATGAGGTAGTTCTTCATTTTTCCCTTCCTTGTTTTCCTCTTTCCTCTTTCCTTGTGCTGATCACAAAAGTGAAATAGGAATGACAAAAAATAGCTTATGTGGAGAATTCCTACAATAGTAGAATAGTAGAAAATGAAGTTTTTCGAACATTTATCACCACCTTTGAATTCGAATATAGGAAAATCGATGCAGTGGAGAAGTACAATGCTGTTAGTATTCACAGTACTAATTCCCTTCTTCCTATTATTCCATCATTGTACCTTGTGGTGTTTAGAAGACTAAGGCTTCTACAGGAAAGGTGGAGTGCAAAAGTAAGGCAATGTATTTCCTTGGATTGTAGATTAAAGTAATTTTTTCTTTTCCCCCACCACTGCATTTAATTTCCAGTGTTTTGTTTTGTTTTGTTTTTATTTTTGTGGTGCTGGCAATCAAATTCAGGGCCCTAAATGGGCTTGGTAGCACACACCTGTCTACTCCAGAGACAGGAGGATTGCAAGTTTCGAGGCTAGCTTTTACAACTTGACAAGACCCCATCTCAAAAAATTAAAAAATAAAAAGGGTTGGGGGTGTAGCTCAGTGGTAGAGTGTAACTGGGTTCAAATCCCCAGTACTGCAAAAAAAGAAAAGAAAGAAAAAATATTCCAGTGTCTTGTGCGTGCTAGACAAGTGCTATGTCCCCCACCCCAGGGTGGTATGTTTTACTCACTGTATTCTCAGCCATGAATAGGCCAGGTGCCAAGCACATTGTAGTGCTGAATAAATCCTGAATTCCTTGACTGCTTCTCTATCATATTAAGATGTTTGTGTATGTTTGCTTGCTTTTTAAAAGTATTTTTTAGTTGTAGATGGACACAGTATCTTTATTTATTTATTTTTATGTGGTGCTGAGGATTGAACCCAGTACCGCACATGTACAAGGCAAGTGCTCTTTCAATGAGCCACAACCCCAATTAATTTATTTTTAAACAGTGCTGAGAATCGAACCCAGTGCCTCACATGTACTATGCAAGCACTCTACCACTGAGCCACAAACCCCAGAACCCCCCTTTTTTTAATCTGAAGAGTATGGTTATTTGTTTTATTTTTTTATTTTTATTTTTTTTGGTATTAAGGGTTGAACTCGGGCACTCGGCCACTATGCCACATCCCCGGCCCTATTTGTATTTTATTTAGAGACAAAATCTTACTGAGTTCTTAGCGCCTCACTTTTGTTGAGGCTGGCTTTGAACTCAGGATCCTCCTGCCTCAGCCCTCTGAGCCATTGGGATTATAGGCATGTGCCCCTGTGCCCGTCTACTTTAACAAATTTTCAAAGGAAATTGAATAAAATCCTTTGATAACTGGGTTAGCAGAAAGGGGGGAAAAAGTATTTTTTTAGCGGTCAGGTCTTTCTGCTTTAGGGGTGGAGTTAAATGTCCTTTAAGGGATTGACTTTTTCTCTTGGAACCCTTGGTTGACTGTAAATAGGCTTCTCTGACCTGGGTTAAAATGAGTGCCTTTTGCTGTAGACTAGGCTGATCTAGTCAAATCTGGTACTTGAGTGTCCATTGTGAATGATGAAAGCAGATAATTCAGCTTGAGTCAGATTTCACATTTAGAGGCCAACCACATCTTGTAGCATTCATAAACATTAGTTTTGATTACTGTGTTTAGGTAATTCCTAACCCACCACCCTAGACTCGGGATGGAATCCAGTACCTCTTGCATGGTAGGTCCTGGGTTGCATTCCCTAATTCTAATTAAACTACTTTAGAAATTCCAGACAAAATAAGTTCAGAGAGGCTTCAAATAGAACTTAGGGAGACACCATTCTTCATCATGACCATACATACATCCTAATTCTGTGGAGGCTAATTTTTTTTTTTTTTTTTTTAAAGAGAGAGAGAGAATTTTATTATTTATTTTTTAGTTTTCGGTGGACACAACATCTTTGTTTGTATGTGGTGCTGAGGATCGAACCCGGGCTGCACGCATGCCAGGCGAGCGCGCTACCGCTTGAACCACATCCCCAGCCTTGTGGAGGCTAATTTTTAAGCACAGTGATTTTTCTCTGCATGTTGCTCATGATTAGTTAYCCCCAATAGTTCAAGGTGTGATATTGTATTATTTATGAAATTGATTCTCGTTATCATACTGTTTTGGCTCTTCCAGTAGAATGGCTCTGTGTTCAGCTACAGGGGTGTAAAAGCCCCAGTTTACTGCTTTCTGATACCAAAGAAGGAATTTGGAGGACTCAACAGAGAGGTTTTTGGTAGCAGTCTGAGATACAGTGGGAGAACCATACTRTATCTATAAACAGCGAATACATAGATATATGGGATAGATTGCATACCCATTGCACAAGTGGATTTCTTCAGATGCTTTATGAATACATTCTTTTACTTTACAACCAAGGTCAGAATGCTTTGATTCTCACCTAAAGATTGCAGATAAAGGGAAGTAGTTGGCTTCTCTTCTCCCATTTATTTCATTTATCACTTTTTTTTCCTCCTAGGCACTGATCTGTTTCATAGACTCTGATTATCATGTTTTGGCTCCTCAAGAATAGAGTGGGCTGGGATTGTGGCTCAGTGGTAGAGCACTTGCCTGCCATGTGGTGAGGCACTGGTTTCAACCCTTAGCACCACATAAAAAAATAAAATAAAGTTATTTTTTTTTAAAAAAGAAAAAGAATACAGTGGTTCCAGGAATGGAGACATATACCTATAATCCTAGCTACTTGGGAAACTTAGAAGGATCACAAGTTCAAGGCCAGCCTTGGCAATTTAGCTATACACCATAAAGTTTTTCCTTCTTTTTTTTTTTTTTTTTTTGCTGGAGATGGAACCTAGGACCTCATACATGCTAGATAAGTGCTCTACCTTTGAGTCCCAGTTCAAGCTGTCTCTTCTAAAATCATACTATGTTTTCTTTTAAGACTTTATGTATTCTCAACTCATTTTTAAAATTTTTTATTTAGATGTTGATGGACCTTTATTCTATTCATTTATTTGTATGTGGTGCTGAGGATCGAACCCAGTGCCTCACACATGCTAGGCATGTGCTCTACCACTGAGCCACAACCCCAGCCCTCAACTCACTTTTTTTTTTTTTTTTTAAGTTGTGCTTAAAAAAATATATAACAGCCAGGTGCAGTGGCGCATGCCTATAATCCCAGCAGTTCCAAAGGCTGAGGCAAGAGGATTGTGAGTTCAAAGCCAGCCTCGGAAATTTAGCAAGGCCCTAAGTAACTCAGTGAGACCCTATCTCTAAAAAGGGCTAGGAATGTGGTTCAGTGGGTAAGTGCTCCTGGGTTCAATCCCCAATGCCAAAAACCACAACAAACAACCACAGGTGTCCATAATCCCAGCAATTTGTGAGTCTGGGGCTTGCAAGTTCAAGGCTAGCCTCAGCAACTTAGTGAAGCCCTAAGCAACTTAAGGAGACCTTGTATTAAAGTAAAAACTTAAAACAACTGGAGATGTAGCTTATTGGAAAAGCACCCCTGGGTTCAATCCCCAGTACCAAAAGAATAAAAAAAATTTTAAAACCCCACATAACAGAATTTACCATCTTAACCATTTTTAAATATTCAGTAATGTAAAGTATAACCAATTATTGTGAAACAAAATTCATTTTTACATATCTATGTGTATCTTAGATTTATATCTTTGTGTTACATGGAGAAGTTGCTGTGGAAATTGTTTCCAGAATTTGAACCTAAAAAGTACCCGGGAAATGACATTGCTGCACTCAGAGGGCTTAAAACTCACAGTAGATTCTCATTCATCCACAAATGATTGTTGAACACTTACTGTGGTGATTAATCCATCTTTTGGGGTATAAATGACAGATAAGATCCCTATACTCATAAGTTTTTAACCCCCCCCCCCCTTTTTTTTAACCAGGGATTGAACTCTAGCACTCAACACTGAGCCACATCCTAGCCCTATTTTGTATTTTGTTTAGAGACAGGGTCCCACTGAGTTGCCTAGATCCTCACTGTTGCTAAGGCTGGCTTTGAATTCTTAATCCTCCTGTTTCAGCCTCCATAGCCACTGGCTTTATTTATTTGGGGTTTTTTTGTATTACTTCTTTTAGGTACAGTCACTGTGAAATTGTGAAGTGAAACTGCCATTCCACTACCACTGAATTTTTGATTAGCTATATGGGTTGGAATTTTACTTGAATATTTTACATCTGCCACTAGCGTCAATACATTATGAGTTTTAAGTTTAGGCATCAATTATCCCAAACTCCACTCAGAATATTTTAGTTGACATTATTCTCCAGTGATGTCAGTGATCCAAAACCATGAAACAAGTTCCTAGCCTCATAATTTAGTTGAAGATGGGGACATGTAAACAAGCAGTTGGCACTAAATGTTTAGCTGCTCTGGTAAAGGAAGAACAGAGTGCCCCAGGTACACAGGAGTGGGAGGTTCAGGAAAGATATCCCAAAGGAGATGGCAGTTAAGCTAGCTGAGACTTGAGATGTATTGAGACAAAGAGGGGAAGGAAAGCGTGTTGTTTCAAGTAGAAAGTAGAGCATTTTGGAGTCTTGGAGGTAAGAGACAACTATAAACTCAAGTAACTGAAAATAAGCTTAGTGTGATAGGAACTAAGTCTGAAGAGTGGTGAGTAGTGAAGGGTTTGTCCATGTTAGGCTTGAAAGGTAAGCAGTGATCAGATCAGGTCCTGTACCTTCTAAAATCTTTGCATTCTATATTAGAGTGGTAACAGGACTAGGGGCATTTGGGAGACATTTGGAAGCTGGTGTAATAGTTCAGCTGAGAGATAATGGAAGGGACTAGCAAATGTGTTGAATTTAGGTTATGTGAGTAAGATATCCCAAAAGAGCTGTCTAGGAGCCAGAGGGAAAAAAGGGTGTGGCCCCAAAAGAAACTTGGAGAAAAAGGAGGAAGTAATGGAAACAAAGGGAAGAGATTGCTCAAGAAGGCAAGTTGGGGGCTGGGGTTGTAGCTCAGTGATAGAGTACTTACCTAACATGGTTGAGGCACTGGGTTTGATTCTCAACACCACATATAAATAAATAAAATAAATGTCCATCAACAATTACATAAATAAATAATTTTTTTTTTAAAAAAAGAAGGAGAGTTAGTCATCACATCAAATGGTATTGAAAAATCAAGGAAAAGAATGCCAAGATTTAAGGACAAGGAGGTTGTTGATCATTTTATGAGACCACTTTCAGTGGACACAGAGGGGCAGAAGTCAGATGGAGAGTGTTGAGAGTTGAAGGTAAGAAACTTGACAGCAAATACAGGTAACATTTTTAATCTCTGTGGTATTTGGGATCAAACGAAGTCTAGGCAGTTGCTCTACTATTGGGACTGTACACCCAGCTCTTGAATTTAGATGGCTTTTTGATGGGGAAAAGAAAGAGAGGGTGCTAACTGAAGGACCATGAAGTAGAGGAGTCCTCCCAAATATTCCAGGTTCCTTGCAGTAGAATTATGTCCAGTTTATCTGTGTTGTTGAATATTGTATCTTGTTCATTTGCTAAAATAAATTCCAGATTATAAGCCTTCCTAAGAGCAGAAACTGTCTCATTTATCCATGTACTCAGCTTCTGGCATATGATATGCATTCAATAAATGGTTATTGAATGAATCAGAAAAGATACATTTTCTTTTCTGTCAAATTAAAAATATTATTTTTTTTTTATAGATAAAGCACATGATGGCTTTTATTGAGCAAGAAGCCAATGAGAAAGCAGAAGAAATAGATGCAAAGGTAAGATCCATTTTCTAGTTTCAAGAAATCATCAAAGTTTCATACAGTTTTGCTTTACTAAGCAATAATATAATAAAATTATTTAGCACCAAACTGCAAAGGACTAATAAGAATATATGTCTATGGGCTGGGGTGGTGGCTCAGTGGTAGCATGTCTTGTGAGGCACTGAGTTCAATTCTCAGCACCATATAAAAATAAATAAAATAAAGGTATTGTGTCCATCTATAATTAAAAAAAGAAGTTTTAAAAAAAGAGTAATGTCTTTAATGTTAAAAAAATAAATAAATTTTCCTTTGTAGTTGTTCTGATTGTTAATAAGTGTCCTGAAATTTTATCATAGGAGTAGAAAATTAATGCATGGTTTAATTTTCTTATGGAATCCATAATTCATAATTGCAGTAAAGTTTGTAAGTAACATTAAAATGAAAGCCATTGTGCATAACAAAGGTGACGTTTAGTCAGCATCTAAAATTCTTATGAGGTGGTTACAGGCAAAGTGAAACTTGTCTGTAGCTGCAGATACTTGGGAAGTTGAGGCAGGAGGATCATTTGAGCCCAGGGGTCTGATAACAGCCTGGGCAGTATAGTAAGACCAAAACCCTGTCTCGAAAAAAAAAAAAAAAAAAAAAATTCCAGTTGTACATTGTTTATATCAACTTACGTTCCTTAACAGTGTATAAAGTTTTTATTTTCCTTAAATATAATCATAATAGGCATTTAAAATATTATCAGAACACATTTTCTTCCTTTTTTTTTAATTTATTTTTTAGTTGTACACATACCTTTATTTTGTTTATTTATTTTTATATGGTGCTGAGGATTGAACCTAGTGCCTCCCATGTATCAGGCAAGTGCTCTACCTCTGAGCTACGTCCCCAGCCCCCAAAACATATTTTCTAATATAAATATATATAATTATTTTTAGAATTTTAATATTTGTTGTTTAATTTTTTTAATCTTTGTTTGTATGTGGTGCTGAGGATCGAACCCGGGCTGCACGCATGCCAGGCGAGCGCGCTACCGCTTGAGCCACATCCCCAGCCCTATTTTTTTTTTTTTTTTAATGAGAGAGAGAGAGATAATTTTTTTTTTAATATTTATTTTTCAGTTTTCGGTGGACACAATATCTTTATTTGTATGTGGTGCTGAGGTCGAACCTGAGCCGCACGCATGCCAGGCGAGCACGCTACCGCTTGAGCCACATCCCCAGCCCAATATTTTCTAATATTTTATTTTTATCTTTTAAATCTACTATAGTTATATTTGTTAGCTAACTTTCAGGCATTGTATATGCCTGCTCAAAAACTGAAGCTCTCTGAAACTTTGAATTATCACTTGGGGAAAAAGATTATTTTAACTCCCATTAATATATAATAATTGATAGTCGTCTATTTAATATTATTTTAGTGGTCATAAAACCACCACAGTTTCTTTTTTGGTTCTGGGGATTTAACCCACTCAGCTATATCCCTTAGAGCATTTTATTTTTTATTTTGAGACAGGGTCCCACTGAGTTGCTTAAGTCTCACTAAGTTGCTGAGGCTGACCTCAAATGTGCAATCCTCCGGCCTCAGCCTTCCAAATTGCTGGTATTACAGTCGTGTGCCACCACATCTGGTGAAAGACTACAGTTTCTTGTATGACTAGTTCCTCTCATTTTCTGTGGGCCAAGTATAAAAGTTTTATATGCCTGTAATTCCAGCAGCTCAGGATGTTGAGGTAGGAAGATTGTGAGTTCAATGCCAGTCTCAGCAATTTAGTGAGGCCCTAAGCAACTCGGCAAGACCCTGTCTCTAAATAAAATATAAAAAGGGCTAGAGATGTGGCTCAGTAGTTATGTACCCCTACGTTCGATCCCTAGTACCAAAAAAAAAAAATTTATTTCAGCTATTATTTCAGGAATTGTATTCTTGTTTAAAATAATCTTGCTAGGTGCAGTGTCACATGCCTGTAATCCCAGTGGCTCCAGAGGCTGAGACAGGAGGATTGCAATTTCAAAGCCAGCCTCAGCAATGGCAAGGCACTAAGCAACTCAGTGAGACCCTGTCTTTAAAACAAAATACAAAATAGGGCAGATGTGGCTCAATGGTTGAGTGCCCCTGAGATCAGTTCCCAGTACCCCGCCAAGAAAGTAATCTGATCCTGCCCAACATGGTGGTGCATGCATATAATCTCAGCTACTTGGGAATGCTGAAGCAAAAGAATCAAAAGTTCAAGGCCAACCTAGGCAACTTAGTGATCTGTCTCAAAATAAAAAATAAAAAGATATGGAGATGTAGCTCAGTGGTAAAACACCACTGGGTTTTAATCCCTAGTACCACAAAAAAAATATTTTTTAAAATTGAAAAAGTAGGGCTGGGGTTGTGGCTAAGCTGTAGAGCGCTTGTCTAGTAGTTTCAAGGCCCTCAGCACCACATAAAAATAAAACATATTGTGTCCAACTAAAAAATAAATATTAAAAAAAAATTGAAAAAGTAGTCTTACCCTGTATAACACCATCATCTTTATTTCCCATGATAGATACAGAGACAAGTTATAAAAACATTTAGAGTCAGGCATGGCTGCATGCCTGTAATCCCAGTGCCTCAGAAGACCTGAGGTGGGAGAATTGCAAGTTCAAGGCCATCCTCAGCAATTTAGCAAGGCCTTAAGCAACTTAGCAAGACTATGTCTCAAACTTTAAAAAAAATAAATACATTAAAATAAAAAGGGTGGGCTGCGGTTGTGGCTCAGCTATAGAGCCCTTGCCTAGCATGTGCGAGGTGCTGGGTTCAATCCTCAGCACCACATAAAAATAAATAAATAAAATAAAAGTATTGTGTCCAACTATAAAAACTAAGAAATATTTTTTTTAAAGAGAGAGTGAGAGAGGAGAGAGAGAGAGAGAATTTTTAATATTTATTTTTTAAAACTAAGAAATATTAAAAAAAAAATTAAAAAGGTTAAGATGGTGGCTTAATGGTTAAGCACCCTTGGGTTCAATCTCCAGTACCCACCCTGCAAAAAAAAAAAAATTAATTTTAGAACATGCAAGTTCAAGTACCTGTGCCAAGCCTTGAACATCTGAATCAGCAACTTTTGCTAATTTTTCCAAAATCATAATTTCTTATTGTTTGAAAATTGTGGACATCTCATTAAGTTAACTTTATTTGGTTGGTTGGTTGTTTTGGACTGTGCTGGGATCAAACCCAGGCCCTTGCACAAGCTAGATAGATGTTCTGTCACTGAACTATACCCACAGACAGGATAACATTTTAAAGAAATAACTGCTCAGTAATTTGCATTAATGAAAATAATAACCCTTGTTTGTAAAATTCCTTTTTTAGAGCTGTTAAATTTACATATTCAACTCATGTGAAAAGAATACTTTTTGTTATTTCATTTTACAACATAGGACACTGAGGCTGTTACTTGATCAAATTTTATAGGCAATAACCCAAATTCTGTTTTTTTTTTTAATTAGCCCTAGTAAGAAAGTGGACTAAATGAAGAATACATTATTATTATTATTATTATTATTATTATTATTTTGTGTGAACAAAAGCTTGTGTCTGATTATATATTCTGTAACTTTGTGACTGGGTACAGCTTTCCTTGATCACATTTTTAATTTTCTTATTTATCATTTATAATAAAATCATTGGTCTTTCCTTTTGAATAAATTAGAAGTAATCTTTGCAGGTGAGCATCACAATAAATCTTAGGTTTTAGATATAGAATAAGTGATCATAAGCAAGTGTCTCTAGTTACCAGCTGCTTAGAGTACAACTGTTTGCCAAAATCTAATGTCAATGAATTAATGGTAATTAATTTTACTGTAGGCAGAAGAAGAGTTCAACATTGAGAAAGGCCGTCTTGTGCAAACCCAAAGACTGAAGATTATGGAATACTATGAGAAGAAAGAAAAACAGATTGAGCAGCAGAAGAAAATGTCAGTAAATCCTGGTCCTAGTATTAAGCTAAAGAAGCTCTCAGAAGTCAGTGAAACATGGGGCTGAGGTTATTGTTCATTGGTGAAGTGTTTGCTTAGCATGCAAGAGGCCCTGGGCTCAACCCAAAGTAACCCCACCCCGCACCCTCCCCCCCCAAAAAAAAGTAAGATGAGGACAGAGCAGGTGCTTTGCAGTACAGTTCTTAACTTTACCTCCTACTACTTACCTGACCTTGGGCAAATTGTTTAACTTCTTTTTTCTCATTTGTGAAGATGGTAACCTTAAGGATTATTGAAAAATTAAATTGCAATAACTGATGTGAATGTGTTTGCCACTTGGCAGACATTCATTAAATATTTCCTAATCTTGAAAGTAAGTTGGTGGAAACTGATAAATATATCTCAAGATTTTATTTGATCATTAGGAAGAAAAATTCTGGTTTATCAAATCTTCATTTTACATGACAATAGAAAACTGTATGTTTTTTCACAGTTTGTTTTTTTATGCTGCTCTTATGCTGTTTTCCCATAACTTTTGCAGTCAAATGTCCAATTTGATGAATCAAGCAAGGCTCAAAGTTCTCCGAGCAAGAGATGACCTTATCACTGTGAGTAATTAGTCCCATTATGTATAAAATTATAAATGTTAGCCAAGGTGTGGTAGTACAAACTTGTAACTACAGCTACTAGGGGTGCTGAGGCAGGAGGATCATATGTTCAAGGCCAGCATAGGCAAATTATCAAGACCTTGTCTCAAAATCAAATGAGGAAAGGGCTGGGGATGTAATTCAGTGGCAGAGCATGCCTAGCTTGTGCCCTGGGTTCAATCCCAGAACCATAAAAGTATGAGTTGCTGAGTGATTTTTAGAGAGAATACAATTGTTCAGCAAATCATTATATGAGGTATTAATGATAAATACAAACAAGAATAAGAGACAAGCCCTGACTTCAATGACCTTCTAATCTAAGAACGGCTCTACTGGATCATAGGGCAACAACAGAGTGGTCTGTACATAATATGTAAGGCTCAAAAGGGAAGATGGATTGAGTATAGATAGGATCATGAATACAAGGCCAAGAGTGGGTCCCTGTTTTCAGTAAAAAGCCATTGGAGTTTTTGTTTTATTTTGTGGACAATATCATAAATAGGATCATAATACTATTGTATAGGCTAGGGAAGAGGTTAGAAACAAGAATACCATTTGGAAAGTTTTATAGTTATTCAAGGAAGAGGGCAGAAACCTGTAGAAACATTACTTAATTGAAAGGGGTCTAGAAGTTTTTTTTGTGTGTGTTTTTGTTTTTGTTTGGTTTGGTTTGGTTTTGGTTTTGGTTTTGGTTTTGGTTTCAGGGATTGAACTCAGGGATGCTTAACCCCTGAGCCACATCTCCAATATCCTATACCATTTTTTTTTTTTTTTTTTTTTAATTTTTGAGACATGATCTTGAACTTTTGATCCTCCTGCCTTTGCATCCTGATTCCCTGGGATTGTAAGACCTATATGAAGTAAAACTATAAAACCTAAATAAATGGAAGACACACTGTTGTCTTACACAGTTAAAGAAACACAATGGTAAAATGCTCCTGGGTTCCATTCCCAATACCAAAACAATAAAAACAAAAAGAGCATGGTGGCAGTGAGGTGAGGCACATATTACAGGAAGACTTGCCAGACATCAGCCACTTCCAAGTCCAGCACTAAGTTCTGAATTTCACTCCTGAATAATCAAGAGAATGATGTTTCCATTACCAAAAATGAAAAGTCAGGATGACAAGATGTTTTGTTAAGAGAAATAACCAGCTCATTTTTGGATATATTTTGAGGGATGGGAAACCATCAGATGGAAATGTGTCAGCTGTTAAGTGTAAAGGACTGATGACATATTGATTTAACTCTCATTAAGAAAGTGGCCCCGGGGCTGGGGATGTGGCTCAAGCGGTAGCGCGCTCGCCTGGCATGCGTGCGGCCCGGGTTCGATCCTCAGCACCACATACAAGCAAAGATGTTGTGTCCGCCGATAACTAAAAAATAAATATAAAAAAAATAAAAATAAAAATAAAAAAATAAAATCTGCCTCCTTTAAAAAAAGAAAGTGGCCCAATTTGAGTAGTTTATCTGCTTTTAAGCTTTAGGAATGTGGGAAAATAGAAAATCTCGTTGTTAATTCATCCTACCACATGGGAATAGTTTATCCCTTTAGGACATCAAAGGATTAGAGTGCTTTGTGGGAGATGTTCACTATAATATGTTACTAGTTCAGGACAATTGCGACCTATCTTTTCACTAAATGTTGAGTTTCAGTTGCTTGGTGTGGTAGCACACTCGCATAATCTCAGCTTCTTGTTAGGTCAGGACAGAGCAATCACAGATTCACTGAGACCTACGGAGATGTACCTCTGGTAGAGGACTTGTGAAGACCCTGGGTTGGATTCCCAGTATCACAGTAGTCAGTAGTTGATTCCCTTTCAATGGATTAATTCCTTTTGCAACTTGAATTAATTGACCTAATTTACAAGCTGCTCTTAAATTAATAGTACATCCTTAGGGAAAGTAGTTGTAGAAGAGCTTGGGGCTGATAAGTTATTGAAACTTGAGTTTAAATTTTAGCTCTGCTTGAATCAAATGTATGAAATATGATATGTCAAGAGCTTTGTAATGTTTTGAACAACTAATAATAAAAAAAAAATTTAGCTCTGCCATATTTGTTTGCCTAAATTATTGTTTCTGACCCCAAATTTCCACTTCTGTATGTTAAGATATTTGGTAAAGAGTAATCAATAAATGGGCAAAGGAATGAGCAGATACTTCATAGAAGAAATACAGTTGATCAATAAATATATATAAAAAATTCAACATCTCTAGCATTTAGAGAAATGCATGTTAAAACTACACTGTATGGGGCTGGGGATGTGGCTCAAGCGGTAGCGCGCTCGCCTGGCATGCGTGCGGCCCGGGTTCGATCCTCAGCACCACATACAAACAACGATGTTGTGTCCGCCAGAAATGGAAAATAAATATTAAAAAATTCTCTCTCACTCTCTCTTAAAAAAAAAAAAAAAAAAAAAAACTACACTGAAATTCCATCCCATTCCAATCAGAATGGCAGCTGTCAAGAATATAAGCAACAATAAATGTTGGCAAGGATATGGGGGGAAATGTACATTCATACGTTGTTGGTGAGACTGCAAATAGGTGCAACCACTATGGAAAGCAGAATGGAGATTCCTAAGAAAATTTGGAATGTAATCACCATTTGACCCAGTCATGGGTTTATGCCCAAAGGACGTAAATCAGCATACTACAGTAGTAGTAGTGAATCAACTACTACTGCGACACAGCCACATCAATGTTTATAGCAACTCAATTCACAATAGCTAAACTGGAACCAACATAGGTGCCCTTCAAAAGATGAATGAATAAAGAAACTGTAGTGTACATACACATTGGATTATTACTCAACCTTAAAGAAGAATGAAATTTTGGCATTTGCCAGTAAATAGATAGAACTGGAGAATATTATACTAAGCAAAATAAGCCAATCCCAAAGAACCAAAGGCCAAATGTTTTCTCTGATATTCGGTTGCTAATTCACAATAAGGCGGGTGGGGAGAATACAGGTAATTTGGACTAGACAGAAGGGAGTGAAAAGAGGGGAGGAAGTATGGGGGTAGGAATGATAGTAGAATAAATCAGACATTGTTACCCTAAATGTATATATGATTACATGACCTGTATAACTCTACCTCATGTACAAGCAGACAAATGAGAAGTTATGCTGCATTTATGTAGGATGTGTCAAAATGCATTTTGTCATGTGTAACTAATTAGAACAAGTTTATATATATATATATATATATATATATATATATATATATATATGTAAAAACAACAACAAAACAGATATTTGGTAAAGAGGATCTAATGAGAATGGGCACATTTAAATCCTCTAGCAAAACACTTGGCATTTAGTACTTGTTTAGGAAATGTCAGTTCCCTTTCTCCCTACCATTTCTTGTGATAGACCTGGGTAAAAATTAAAATACACTTTCAGCTAGCTGGGCACTCATGTGTGGAGCAAGAGCTCACTGTGGGAGTATGTTAGTCGGTAATTCTTAAAAGGGATGTGGTTTTGGGCTGGCGCCAACTTTCCTACTCTCCACCATCTCCCCAAAACTTGATTTGCCACTAGGGGTGCATATCTCTCCTCCTTAAAATACCAAGAAAAGCCATAACTTTCCATAGATTACATTAAGTTAAATAAGCTATAAAGACCTCTTGCTATAGTCAAATATACCAGACAAAAATCTATCTTGGAGTGTGTGTTAAATGAAAACCCAGCAATAAAATGTGACCTGATGGGCATTTACCAGCCTTGATGTGTAGATAACTTTTTTTCTTTGCCATTCTTTGTAGGACTTACTGAACGAAGCAAAACAGAGACTCAGCAAAGTGGTAAAAGATACAACCAGGTACCAAGTGCTACTGGATGGACTGGTCCTCCAGGTATACTTACAGGCCATATCTACCATTTACAGCCACAGTTCTGAGAAAACTTATAGGACCTCTTTAAAGATCAGCTTTGTTTTTTTCTATCTTAGCATTTTTCTCTTTTACTTTTTCCCTGTCTAAAATGTGTGTTTAAAGTAGCACTCTCACTGTTTTTTTTTTTTTTTCATTTGTCAGTGGATACAATACCTTTATTTTATTCATTTGTATTGCTGAGTATTGAACCAAGTACCTCACATGTGGTAGATGAGCACTCTACCACTGAGCCACAACCCCAGCCCATCTTACTATTCTTTTATATGGTCTTATTCAAAACCATATTTTACTCAAAGGGTCAAATCTGCTTTCAGCTTTAAACTTGCTTTGTTTGATTTTTACCACTAAAGTATTTGCTTCAGGTGTAATTGCTTAGTCTTAAGTGGTGATTCCTTATTTTACTTATGTTAATCACAAAATATTGTCCCCTATCCAACTGATAAGACTAGCATTTGGGGGCTGAAGTTGTGGCTCGGCAGTAGAGCTCTCGCCTAGCACATGCGAGGCCCTGGGTTCAATCCTCAGCACCACATAAAAATAAATAAAACATTAAAAAAAAAAAAGACTAGCATATGAATTTGAATTTAAGTACCAGATTATCAGTTTATCTGGTTTGCAATAATTGGAATTTTCCCTCCATGTTCTCTCATACTATCTGTGCTGTCTTCTCAGGAGACATTGTTCCTTACTTGATGAAAGAATTTTAGAAACATTGTTTTGCTATTGCTTTTAGTTTGTGTTTTCCTCCAATGGCATCTGATTGTTTCTTACAGGGTTTGTACCAGTTGTTGGAGCCCCGAATGATTGTTCGTTGCAGAAAACAAGATTTTCCTCTAGTAAAGGTAAAGAACTTAGCTGAAGAAGTGAAAAATTTTTAAAAAGATCAAAATTCTGTGATGAAATGCATGGTCTAATAACAGCTGAATTTGGGGGATTAGAGGAATTTTACCACATTGTAAATTTTAGTTCAGCATCTAGTTTCTTTTCTTTCTTTCTTTTTTTTTTTTTTTTTAAAGAGAGAGTGAGAGAGGAGAGAGAGAGATTTTTTTTTTTTTTTTTTTTTTTTTTAGAGAGGGGGGAGAGAGAGAGAGAATTTTCAATATTTATTTTCTAGTTCTCGGCGGACACAACATTCTTGTTGGTATGTGGTGCTGAGGATCGAAACTGGGCCGCACGCATGCCAGGCGAGCGCGCTACGGCTTGAGCCACATCCCCAGCCCAGCCACATCCCCAGCCCAAGCATCTAGTTTCTTAAGAAAGGTTGAGGGCTGGGGATGTGGCTCAAGCGGTAGCGCGCTCGCCTGCCATGCGTGCGGCCCGGGTTCGATCCTCAGCACCGCATACCAACAAAGATGTTGTGTCCGCCGAGAACTAAAAAATAAATATTAAACATTCTCAAAAAAAAAAAAAAAAAAAGAAAGGTTGAGTTGCCATCCAAGCTAGTACCTTCTTCCTTTTTTTTTTTTTCCTTGGAGGTGGGCACATCTCAATTTAATTGCAAAAGCCTTCATTTTTAGCACATTCAACAATGAATGCCACTTTTTGAACATATAAACATATAAAAGTCCTTATCTTCTTACTTTTCTGGGAACTTAAAAGTACTGTGATCCTAAAAATCAAATAATAAAAGCTGTGCCTCCTGGACTGGAGCAAAGATAGGCAGTGCCTTCTTTAGGAGGCAGCCTACTGCCCTACACAAGGCCTGGCTATAACCTAATTAATTGTATTCACATACTCAGAGAAGGAAGAGAGGTTGTTCACCTCAGATAGTATCACCAAGTTGCTCATCTGATTACCATTCTTCATGTAGCTTGCTTTAGGGCAAGGACTTGCTGAGTCCCTTGGCAACTGCATTTCTTAGAACACACCAATACATTTATAATAATATCCATGCATTCATAGTATAATTTGTCTCCCTAAGTAACTTGTCTCCTAGGAAAGAAAGTATGCCATTGAGGGAACATAGGTATTCATTCTCCTTAGGTACATCTTTGCTACTRTAATGAGTTATATAGTTCTAGTTTGTCATGTATCCATGTTTGTGCTGACATGTCATTATGAACCTCTAAACCAGAGGACTAGACATTAGAGTGGAGAGTTTACTAAGGGTCTGTCATTCTAAGGAGGTCGGTCTAAAGTTGCCAGCTAATCTTAAGTAGATGACACTGGGTATCAACCAAGCGTTTTCTTAAAACTTACACTGTCAATTATTAGCTCTCCAGACTGATGCTATATTAGCTACAAAGAGCAGGGAATTGTTGAATATCTACATCAGTTTGTTCAACTAATAACATCAGAAAAAAATTGAAATTCTTTAATTTCTTCATGAAAATATTTACATATCTAACACAATCGGGTTCAGGTTTTGCCTTTCCAGTAATTGTTTGACTATCAAATTGTAATATAGCAGTAAAAATCCATTTTCATCTTCTTTCCCAGTGAACTGTGGCATTTAGTCCATTCACATTATCATGCAACCATCAGCACTGTGCATCTCCAGAATTTTCTCATCTTCCTCTGTGCAGCTCTGTACCCAATAAACAATAGCTCCGCATTTGCCCTATTCATTCCTGAATTCTATGTACTTCATGTGTGTGGTACCATTCACTATTTGTCATTTTGTAACTGGTTCATTTCATTTAGCATAATGTTGTCAAGTGTCACTTGTATTGTAGCATGTGTCAGAATTCCATTCTCTCTCTCTCTCTCTCTCTCTCTCTCCTTGGTACTGGAGAGTGAACTCAGGAGTGCTTAACTACTGAACTGCATCTCCAGTCCTTTTGATTTTTTGAGACAGGGTCTCACTATTGGTTAGGACCTTACTAATTTGCTGAGGCTGGCTTTGAACTTGCAATCCTCAGCCTCCCAATTTGCTGGATCCCTTCTCTAAAACTATATAATATTCCATCAAATGTATATGCCTGGGGGCTAGGGTGATAGAGCACATGTGTGAGGCCCTGGGTTCAGTCCCAAGCACCACATAAAACTGAATAACAAAAAAGGAATTGTGTCCATCTACAACTAAAAATATTTWAAAAATGTATATGCTATATTTTGCTTATCCATCCTCCATTGATAGACACATGGGTTGTTTTACCTTTTGTGATTATTGTTGCCGAGAAAATAAGCATGCATATGTATGTGTGTGTATATATATATATATATATATATATATATATATATATATATATTTTTATTACCCAGAAATTGAATTGATAGATAATAAGGTAATTTTGAGAAAGTATTGCAGAGTTTTTTTTTTAAATATATCTTTATTTTATTATTATTTTTATTTTTATGTGGTGCGGAGGATCAAACCCAGTGCCTCACGCAAGCTAGGTGAATGTTCTACCACTGAGCCACAACCCCAGCCCCTATACTGCAGAGTTTTAAGCAGCTGCTACATTTTATATTCTCTCCCACATAGTGCACAAAGGCTCTAATTTTTTCCACACCCTCACTAACACACTTTCTGCTTTGGGGTGTTTTTTGTTTGTTTGTTTTGAAACTCTTCTTTGCCTAGACTGGCCCTGAATTTCTGGGCTCAAATGATCTTCCTGTCTCATCCTCCCTATTAGTTGGGACCTCAGGTGCACACCACCACTGCACATGGCTGGTTTTTTTATTTTTATTTTTATTTTTTCTATAATAGCCATCCTAATGGGTGTGGAATGATACCACTCTTTCTTGTGTAGACTGTTGTCTGATCTTTTGCAGCTGCCATTTGAAACTCTTAACAGCCAAATCCCACTCCTCTTCCTGATGCTCTTGGCTGGAGTGATAACATCTTCCTCTTATCTTCCCACACTTCACACCTGTGTCCATCAGTTATTCACAAAAGTTACTCATATCTCTTCCCTCCTGCATGCAGGCTCTCAGTTAATCTCATTCTTCCTTATAGGTGGCACTATTTTACATTCCATTTGCAGAGCATGTATTTTTCACTTGGAGTAAGTAGGAATGTCCTTATTTGTATAAGTTGTTGATTTGCAGGTGGTGGTGTACCTGTTCAACAGTTTTCTTAAAACCTTTTTTTGGTTGTTGTTGTTTTCTCTTCAGGCTGCAGTGCAGAAAGCTATTCCTATGTACAAAATTGCCACCAAGAAGGATGTTGATGTCCAAATTGATCAGGAGGCTTACCTGCCTGAGGAAATGTAAGGAGTATTCCTGCTGTTAACATCTAGAATCTCACTGCAAGAATGTTCTTTGCACTGGGTCTTTTTAAAAGCATGTTTAAGTGCTTTCTTTAAGTATTTAAAGTGCTTTTAAAAAGCATTTAAACATGCTTGGTTGGAGGGATAGTAAGAGATTGCATGCTTAGCATGTGCAAGGCCTTGGGTTTGATCCCCAGGACCAAAATTAAAAGTGTGTTTTCTGTAGCACACTCGCAGAGGTGGTGTTATAAATGCTGCTGTTTTCTCTGGAAATGCTCTGCTCTTCTTTGTTAACCAGCTAGTATACTCTAAAAGTCTGTGGTTACTTCATTCATCCTAAGGAAAAGTGATACTATTACTGTAACCCAAACTTATAGCTGGGTCTATATCTATGAATTGGATGCTGAGGAAGAGAGTTCCTAATACTAAATTGTTACCAAAACAAGAATCAGGCTGAAGATGTATTTCAGTGGTAAAGCACTTGTTTAAGAATGCATGAGGCCCTAGGTTCAATACTCAGCACTGCCAAAAATAAAAGAATATAAAAAAATATGATTATTGCATGTGCTAATAATTAGGTTCAAGTGACATCAGTACTTCTGCAGACTATGAGGGAATGACAAACCCAGGCAAGTGTCCCTAGAAAACTTCATGTAGTTGAGGTAGGTATAGAAACTCTGAGGAAGGGTAGAGGGTTGGGTTGAGGGTTTTTTGTTTTTTTTTTTTTTTGGTACCAGGGGCACTTGATCACTGAGCCAGAGCCCCTGCCCTATTTTGTATTTTATTTAGAGACAGGATCTCACTGAGTTGCTTAGCATCTCCCCATTGCTAAGGCTGCCTTTGAACTCGAGATCCTCCTGTCTCAACCTCCTGAGTTGCTACAATTATAGGGGTACGCTACTGCACCTGGCCAGGACTTTTTTTTTTTTGCTGGGGATTAAACCCAGGGCTTTGTGCATGCAAGGCAAGCATTCTACCAACTTAGCTGTATCCCCAGCCAGGTTTTTTTTAATTGACATCATTGTTAAATGAGATACTGTGCCTGGATAAATGAGCACAGTGCTGTGGAAACTGAACATGCAGGGCAGGGTAACACTAGTTCAGGGGCTGGTAAATAACAGGTTTTACTTATTTTTTTTTTTTTTTTTAAGAGAGAGTGAGAGAGGAGAGAGAGAGAGAGAGAGAATTTTTTTTAATATTTATTTTTTTTTAGTTCTCGGCGGACACAACCTCTTTGTTGGTATGTGGTGCTGAGGATCGAACCCGGGCCGCACGCATGCCAGGCATGGCGCGCTACCGCTTGAGCCACATCCCCAGCCCCCAGGTTTTACTTATTAAAGACACCTGTTCCATCCCTAGCATGCAAAACAAAAACAGCAAAAATAAAAGATCATTGTTCCTTTGGAGACAGATGTGTTTTGAATTTTAGAGTTTAGAAAAATACTGTTCTGTAATATCCCCCACCAGTGTCTGAGGCATCGCCCCATGATCAGGTGCACTAGTGTTTCCAAGTGGAATAGGAACCTCCACACTGTGAAAAACGAACATTTTGCAGTTGTTGGTGATAAATTGACTAAAAGATATTTCCAGTTCTAGAGTCACATGACTGGATAGTTTTTGTTTTCAGAGCTTTTGGATTTTAGTATTGCAGATACAGGACTGTAGATATATTCTAGTGTGGAGTGGTATTTTGAATATTGTCAGGACAGTTACTCCATTATCTAACTCAGTCTTTGAAAGTAAGCCTGTCTCCTGGTTTATGAAATAAAGAGTATACCAAAGTTTTTTTTAAGGTCCACAGGAAGATTCAGTGACACAGGAGAAGCCCATGCTGACCTTTAGGAGGTACCTGGCATATTCTCAGTCCTCTCCCTCACTCCTCCAATGGGACAAAGAATTGTATTGTAGACAATGGGTCAGGATTTTAGCAAGGAACCATCCTATCCTCATGAAGAATACAGGCTGTTTAGAGAAACCAAAAATAGATGAAACAAATGGAAATGCAGGAAGGAGGTGCAAGAAAAATAATTAAGGCCCCCTTATCCATCAAAATTTTCAAAAGAAGGTTTGTAAAACCTTTCCTAATTTTGTCTGATAGCCTGCTAATTTCAAGAAAAAATTGATGCAATAAAGTGATATAGTAAATAAATTTCATTCTCAGAGRGCACTTGGCCTGTTCACTTTATAGCTTTAAGTGCTAAAACTGAAGAAAGGAATAGTAAGTGAAGTGTGGCTTTGGGCCGAGGTTTGGCAGAATGTAGTCAGAGTGTCTTTCAGAGAAACACATAGTTAAGAGTATTGCCTTACCAATGTTGCCTGGTAATTAGCAGCCTCTGGACTTTAAAAATTCAGATGCAGTTGGCCTAGTGGTGCACACCCGTAATCCCAGACACTTGGGAGGTTGACGCAGGAGGGTAGCAGGTTTAAGGCCAGGCTGAACCTTGTCTCAAAAATTAAATAAAAAGGGCTGGGTATTTCATTCACAGGTAGAACGCTCCTGAGTTCAATCCGCAGTATACTCTCCATGTCCCCCCAATTTTTTTTTTTTTAATGAGGACTTGGTCTCAGCAATAGACCCTATTGACTCTATTGAGATAATATCTTCCCCTTTTCATTTTTTAGGAAGGGATAGCTGTTAGAATTGGATGCTGATTAAGAATCAGGCACAGAGCAGTCACTTGTATTAACACCACAAAGACCTGAACTCCTCAAGCATTTTTTAAAAATATTTTTATTTTAGTTATAGATGGATGCAATACCTTTATTGATTTTTATTTGGTGCTGAGGATTGAAACCAGTGCCTCGCCTGTGCCAGGCAATCCCAGCCCCTCAGAAGTGTTTTGAATTAACATCAAGCCTGTTGATCATTTTGCACACACCACGCCCTCAAGCGGCCTTCCTCTCAGAGAATGATGTAAGCAAACCATGTGTTTTTGTCTTCTTCAAATCTGTAAAAATTGTTATTTCTTGTGTTTGTTATAGAGCTGGTGGAGTTGAGATCTATAATGGGAATCGTAAAATAAAGGTTTCCAACACTCTGGAAAGCCGGCTGGATCTCATAGCCCAGCAGGTGAGCATGGGAAAACTTCTTGTTACCTGCTCTACTGCTCTTTTAAGTGGTGCAGAGAACACATGTCCATGCACTGGTATTTGGGATTTGTCACTTTCCACTTTTACTTTTTCTTAGAGAATAAGGATTCAGCATGCAGCAGCATTTACTGAGGAAATAGGACTCATATGGGATCAGAACCAGGGTTCTATTTATCTAGGATTCTTTTTATTTATTTGTTAATTTATTTGTACTGATCATTTATACATGACAGCAGAATGCTGCTCAATTCATTGTACACAAATGGAGCACAATTTTTTCACTTGTGGTTGTACACAAGTAGGGTCAAAGCATTCATGCAGTCATACAAATACCTAGGGTAATGATGTCCGTCTCATTCCACCATCTTTCCTATCCCCCTATACCCTCCTCTCCCCTCCTTCCCTTTTGGTCAATCCATAGTTCTTCCACTCATCCCATCCCTCCCACCCCCTGCCCCGTCCTTGTGGATTATCATCCACTTAATCAGAGAAAATATTTGGCCTTTGTTTTTTTGGGATTGGCTTACTTCGCTCAGCGTGATATTCTTTTTATTTTTTTATTTTAATTTTTTTAGTTGTTGTCAGGCCTTCATTTTATTTATTTGTATGTGGTGCTAAGAATCAAACCCAGTGCCTCACGCATGCTAGGCAAGCGTGCTACCACTGCCCACAACCCCAGCCCCAGTGTGATATTCTCTAACACCATCCATTTACTTGGAAATGCCATAATTTTATTCTCTTTTATTGCTGAGTAATATTCCATTGTGTATATATAACACAGTTTTTTTTATCCATTCATCTATGGAAGGACATCAAGGTTGTTTGCAGTTTGGCTATTGTTATTGTGCTGCTATAAACATTGATGTGGCTATGTCACTGTAGTATGCTGTTTTTAAGTCCTTTAGGTATAGACCAAGGAGTGGGATAGCTAGGTCGAATGGTGATTCCATTCCAGGTTTTCTAAGGAATCTCCATACTGCTTTCCAGATTGGCTGCGCCAATTTGCAGTCCCATTAGCAATGTATGAGTGTACCTTTCCCCCCACATCCTCGCCAACATTTATTCTTGTTTGTCTTCATAATAGCTGCCATTCTCACTGGCATGAGATGAAATCTTAGTTTTGGTCTGCATTTCTATAATTACTAGAGATGTTGAACATTTTTTCATATATTTGTTGATCAGTTGTATATCTTCTTCTGAGAAGTGTCTGTTCAGCTCTTTAGCCCATTTATGCCAAGTTCTTTATCCACGAAACAAGTAAATACTTGTTTAAAGGAATTATATGTCTGCTGACTACTCAGATCTTTCCATGTTTGCACAAATGAACTCTAGGAAACAAACCAAGAAAATCCCACTTGCTGTACAATGCTGGGCTAATCTCCTCTGGACTGCCATCTTGGTTGCTTCCTTGTTTCATAGCCAAAGCACTTTGTCCTTGTGTGTCATCTTCTGGTAATTTAAACATTAGAGGTGTGTAGCCTAGTATGGTAGCCATGAATGTTTAAATTAAGATTACAACCTTAGGGCCTGAGGGTGCAGCTTAGTGGTAGAGTGCTTGCCTAGCATGCACCAGGCCCTGAGTTCTGTCCCTGGAATTCCTTAGTCTCACCAGTACACTTTTCAAATATGCTACCATATTAGATAGCACAGCTTTAGAAGTTTGAGGTTAAATCCTAAGGATTGTTAGTTGATGTAAGGAATGCTTCAGCACAGACCTGCATCTTAAATATTATGTGTGGTTCCTTCTGTCACATAGTATGCACTTAATAAATGTTTGTTGTAAGAAAGAAATGTAGATGATCCAGAATTATGAGGTAATAATGTTAATGGGTCTATCTTCTTAGATTACAATATAACAGGTCTTAGAAATGACTTCAGATTTTTCATATTTTTACTTTTTTTTTTTTCTGTAAGCAGTCAGTCTGCACCCCATATTTGTGATTAGTTCAGTTAAAGTGCATCATATAAGTGAAGGCAGATGTGGTGCATTTAGCTTTGTGATTGCCTCCTCAACCATTTAGAGGTTAATAACTTTCTTGATGTGGTTAAGATGGGAGGATTTGACAAGTCTCCCAATTGATGACACTTAAATTTTTTTCTTCACAGATGATGCCTGAAGTACGAGGAGCCTTGTTTGGTGCAAATGCCAATAGGAAGTTTTTGGACTAAGCCCTTGGGAGGTGAAATTAATCTACTGCTTTACCTCTGAGAAGCAAGATCGTCTATGTAGCTTACTATGTAGCTTCTTCTTTGTTGTTATGCTATTATATTTATCAGTGGATATCCTTCTGTAGCTAATATCCTTGGCCTAATGTTAACAACTGGAGGTTTCCTAAGTGTGAACAGGACCCACAGTAATTTGTCTCAGGTACCACAGCTTTTATTTGGTTCTGTAGCATGAAGAGGAGGGGTCAGATGGTACTGCATGGACTACACAAAGTCTCCTGTTCTTTTCACTGTTCTAATTACCTAATCTACACAGTGATATGCATGGTGATCCTTGCTCTTTAGGTATGAGGCATGTATTCTTTGGGCCTAGAATTTTTCTTCATCTGTAAATGTGATTTAAAATCTAAGCAATGAATATTCTTTATTTATTAAAAGATTTATGTGGATTTAACTGTAATTTTTGCGTGTATCATGCTAGGGATCAAACCTTAGGGACCTGCACATGCTAGGCAGGCATTCTACCTCTGAGTTAATCCCCAGCCCTTTTTATTTTGAGACAGGGTCTCACTAAGTTGCCCAGGCTGACCTCAAGCTTGGGATCCTCCTGTCTCATCATCCCAAGTTTCTGGGATTACAGGCATGTGCCACCACACCCAAAATTTTTGAGAGATAGGGTCTCATTGAGTTGCCCAGACTGACCTTGAATTTAAGAGTCCTTCTGCTCAGGTCCCAAGTGGCTGGGATTATAGTTGTGCACCACTATGCTCAGATAATTTATAATTTCTTATGAATGATACTACAAGTTTGTGGTTTGAGAGAGTGAAGATTGGGTGCAGTGATGAGCACCTGTAGTTCCAGCTGTTCTGGGGGCTGAGGCAGGAGGATCACTTGAATCTAGGAGTTCAAGGTCAGCCTTAAAACAATGTAGTGAAATCCTGTCTCAAAAAAAAAAAAAAAGAAAGAAAAAATTGTACTGAGGAACCTAGAAATATTTTCCAAAATCCTATAGCATTCGATAATTCACAGCTGTCAGAACTTGGAATCATTAACCCTCCAGTCCTCTGGGGCTTCTTGCTCATTTTACAAGACCTAATATCACCATGTTCTTTGAAGCTTCTCCATATGAGCCGGCGCACACAGCAAACAAACAGGTGTTCAGTATTACCTGTCTTCTGAAGGGTTATATAACACCCCACCCCCGCTTTGTGTTTTATATGGAAGCCAGGCCCTCACAAATGGTAAGCACATGCTTTATGGTTGGGCCACACCCCAGCCCATAGGTTGTAGAACTTTATTGAGGAAATCACTTTATTACTTTGGGCAGAGTTTTTTGGGGGAGACTATTTAGTGCTAGGCTAAACCCTTTTAGAGATCTTTCTCTTCCTTCCTCCCACTCAACAATTCTGTATTTTGTCCTCAGCCGAGAGCTGCTCAAAGGACTTGTAGCTAGTCGTGGCACAGCTGATATTTTGACTTGGTCTGTCTGGAGGGCAGCCCTTTTCAACTGAGACCACTGTGCCTGACCATTTCAGCACCATTTACTTCCTTCCTTGACTCGCTTTTGTTAGGTGGGGACTAATATACATACCAGTTATTTGAATAGGTATTTTTTTTCTTTATTAGGACTTGTCCTCATTTCTGTGATATTATTTCTGTAGCCCCCTATGGAGGAAGGAATTGAAGCCCATGAAGAGAACTCTTGTCACAGATGACTTAGCTCCTCAACATAAAGGGTAGAGAGGGTCAGGACTTAAACATAAAATAAAGTGTTCTTCTGACTATTCTCCATTCCCAAGACAGGAGTAACAGTTTGAAGAGTGGTAGTGACCTGCTGTAGTGCTCTAGAAACTAGTTTAGTTCTAAACTGGATACAGAAGGAAAGATCAGACACTACTTCTTACAGCCTGTCTCCTACACCCACTACTACAAGACAAGATTTTAACCATTCACTTTTATTTCATATGATCCCCATGTACAGCCATTGGGAAAGGTCTGTGAGAATCCATGCTCCAGGAGAAGGATTTGGGGGCAGGATGGCTGTCTGGACTTGACCACGCTGTTCAGTTAGGTCCACTTAGCCATCTGTGATGTGCAAGTGGGTGCCTGGTTCAACCAAGGCGCTGGTTTTGTCCCCATTGGACTTTTCTTGTTTGTGGTGCTAATAATGGAACCCAGGGCCTCACACGTTAGGCAAGTGCTCTACCACTGAGCTGTACCTCAGCTCTTGGACTTGATCCTCCTTTTCTTCATCATCAGTGCTTGGACTAACTAAATTATTTAACAAAACTAAGTCTTCAAACTGACTCAAGTTTGTGAAATAGAAATGTTAAATTGCAGAAACAGCCCTTCTGTCTTTACTGTCTGTGAAGGTCTGTAATTCAAAAGTGAGTACTAAGAATAGTACTAAGTATTAGGTGAAAGTACTAAGAATTAGGTGATCAGATGTTTCTAAGGGTCCCTGGTAGCAAGAAAATGAATGTAGGTTTCATAAAGGGAGAAAAAGGATACACTGAACCTGCCTTATTAAAATAGGGTTGTTTTTTCTAAGACTGAGGTAGCACTACAAGTTAGAGGCCAAAATACAATGTGGGGGCTACCTTTACCCCGCACCCTTCACTTAGACTAGTGAAACAGGCTAGAGAGGTGGTAGCAAATAAGGGACTATGATCCAGATGCAGCTATTCAAAATACTTTAAGATATGCTCTCCTATTCCAATGAAATAGACACCCTGGGCAATCCCAAAGAGGGGTGCTATGACAAGAGCCCGGCAGCCTGCTCCCTTCATGAAGGCAGATGGTCCTTCCTGAATCCAGAGTTTCCTGGGGAGAGAAGAGCCCAGTGAGCTAAAGGGAAGAAGCAGCATGTTTATTTTGATTCCTCAAACATGTATGCACCTTTGCCTGGCGTGGTGGTGCACACCTGTAATCCCAGCAGCTTGGGAGGCTGAGGCAGGAGGATCGCAAGTTCAAAGTCAGCCTCAGCAAAAAAGAGGCACTAAATAACTCAGTGAGACCCTGTCTCTAAATAAAATACAAAAAAAAGGCTGGGGATGTGGCTCAGTGGTTGAATACGCCTGCGTTCAATCCCTAGTAACAAAAACAAAAAACAAACATTTATGCACCTTTGAGAATAGGTGTCACTCTACAGCAATATCAAGATCCCAAGTGTGAGGGAGCCAAACCTTGTCCATGGAATGTAGTCAATCTTGGGGTGAAGGCCCAAGAAAATAGGCTGGGGGAGAGATGTGATAAGGATGCAAGGAAGAAGAAAAAAGTTCCCAGTATACACTATTTTCTTTTGAGAGATGAGGGAAAGGGTCAGATTCAAAGAAACCCAGAGCTAAGCAATAAAATGTGTCTCCAGACCAGGTGCAGTGACTGAAGGGCTGCTGGTCTCACCTGGCACAATCCATGATCCCACTGTAGACATCCTCCCCCAGGCCTTTCTTGAGGGTTTGGATTCGAGTTTTCAGAACTAAATTGAGAAGAAATTAAAATAAGTAATGAACATCTTGATTTTGGTGTCCTTCACAACCTGAAGTGATAGGGTTCCCTTTTACAATGAGTACACATAAAGACTAAACCATGAAGCCAGTTCTGCCCCTGTGTGATCTATATACATCTTCTTCTTCAGGCCTCTTTTTTTTTTTTTTAATACCAGAGATTAAACTCAGGGGTGTTTAACTACTAAGCCACATCCTCAGCCCTTTTTTTATTTTATTAGACACAGGGTCTCACTGAGTTGCTTAGGGCTTCACTTAGTTGCTGAGGCTAGATTTGAACTTGTGATCCTCCTGCCTCAGCCTCCTGAGTCTCTGGGATTACAGGCAATCACCACTGCTCCCTGCTTCAGGCCTCATTTATTCAATGAATGAAATTCCAGCACTGGATCCTTCAGGCTATTTGTGGTGTAGAAAACCCACCCAGCTGCAATCCTGGTGACAGGAATCAAGGTCTCCTCACTCAGCTCTGCCTTCCGCTCAAAATTTTTTAAATGTCAGCAATGTTCAGGACTCCATTGGGGGACAAAAAGATAAAGAAATTAACATCTAGAAGGTGAGGGTTTGTCAGTAATAAATAAGCAATAGTGATGTTCACTTTGAACCCACTTCTCTGTGAGGTCCTTTGGTGAGCACATGCCAGTGGCCACAGGTTGTGGCTCAAAAATCAAACAAGAGCAAAAATATTGTTTGCCTTCCTAGATGGCTATAGAGAAGCCTCATTTGTAAAGCAGATCAAGCCTTGAACCCCAATACTGAGCTCAAATTCTCCCATACTTACCATCCAGGGGTGTGACTGCAACGGCAGCCAGGGAACCTGCAATGCAGCCTGACACGAAGGAATGAGCAAAGGAGGCCTTCCCAGTAAGCTCATGGACCCCAAGGTTGTTCAGGTTGGCAAACATTGGGAAGTAGATGATGGAGAATGGAATATCTCTGTATTAGAGGAAAAAGAAACACTGGGCTCCACACAGCTCTGAGGTTTCTTTCCACAGAAGGCCATGCAGCAAGACTTCTCTGTGAGCTACATGGCTCAGAGATGAGTCAGATGGATCAGAGAGAAGCTGCTATTACTGACTTTTTTTTTTTTTTTTAAGAGAGAACGAGAGTGGGGGGAGAGATGTGGCTTGAGCCACATCCCCAGCCCTATTACTGACTCTTAACTTTGCACCCCTAGATAATCTAGGGCAAGGATCTGCATGAGAGAAAATAATTGTTTGCCTTTCTCCACCCCCAGCTCATTACTCTGTCCTACCTGCACCTGCAGCCTATGGATGAGGAGCTAGATGCAGAATGAAAGATGGGTAGCAAATTCTACAAAAGGGGGTAGGTAGGGAAGAGAAAAGCCAAATAGCACAGTTAGATAAAGGGATACATCTAGGGCTCATGTGGACCTCCTAACTGAAGAAGGGCTTCAGTCTTCAGGTGCCCTTTTGATGTAACTGATTATGACAGCAGGAAGCATAGCAAAGAATTTGCCAACTTGGGATTAAATATTCTGGGAAGAAGACAGAGGTGGCAGTGCCTGTGGCCCTCCCCTTGAACTGCTGTGCCCAAGTCGAAGAAGAAGGGCTCACCTGAGGAGAGTGGCACCCAGGCCTTTATAGAGACCAGCCAGGCCCTGAGTGCGGAGTAGCTCCCAAGCAATGAGAGTGGCGGATGGGCGTTTGTGAGTGGAAGCAGAACCAGTAGTATAGGACCTGGAAGAGGAAGGTGCCGAGGTCGAGCTCTGATGAGGGGCAGCTAGAAAGGAAAGGATAGCCTTTGTCTCAACCCAAGTCCCAGCAGGCACTGCAAAACACTTGACCAAGGTGTGGCTCAGAATACACAGCCCTGGGACAACTCAGGGTACAAAGCCAATACTTCAACTAGAATCCTGAAGTTTGTCTCAATTTTAGAGCATTAATTTTGGGCTCCAAGGAAAGTTTTCTTCTTTGGGAAGAGGGGGAAACTGGGGTTTAACTCAGGGACACTCAACCAGTGAGCCGCATCCACAGCTCTATTTTTTTTAGAGACAGGGTCTCACTGAATTGCTTAGTACCTCGCTAAGTTGCTGAGGCTGGCTCTGAACTCCGGAATCATCCTACCTCAGCCTCCCAAGTTGCTGGGAATACAGGTATGTGCCACTGCATCAGGCTCCAAGGAAAGTTTTCTAAAGTCTGTATTATCTAGCAAGTTATCCCTCTTTGTAGGCTTCTTCACAGAATCACAGTCATTACCTACCCAGTCTTCTGTACAGGAAACTAGAAATTTAAGTTTTTAAAAATTTTCAGACAGGGGCTGGGGTTGTGGCTCAGTGACAGAGCTCCTGCCTTGCACATGTGAGGAACTGGGTTCGATCCTCAGCACCACATAAAAATAAATAAAACAAAATAAAGATATTGTATCCATCTATAACTAAATATTTTTAAAAATTTTTCAGACAGGGTCTCCCTAAGTTTCCGAGCTGGCCTTGAACTTCTGATACTCCTGCCTCAGGCTCCCAAGCTGCTGAATTACAATAGTGTACCACTGCTCCCAGCTCTGTTTTCTACTTGAACCCTTTTTGATAGTTTCACTTTATTGGCACTTTGGGACAAAGGAATCCCATTTTGGTTCTGCATAATGTAGTAAACCACAAATCTTTTTATTTATCTAAAACTTATCTCCTCCAGTTTTCCAGAGGTGCCTCCTCCCTCTAGTACTCCAGGATTATATGAACATGTCATTTACCTTTCCCCATTTTATAGAAATTGATTTTGTAGATGTCAACCCATTTTAGTTGAGTATTTGAGTCTGTCATTTGATGAGTTCAACATCTAAGAATTTTTTTTCCTGACCATATAAAATATAGGCACTTAATAGTGGACAAGTCCTACTAGTCACCACACAATTCAGTGTATGGATATTGTGTGAATATTTTAAGACATAGTGTTTGTAAAAGAATGGTGGTCATACCTGTGGACTCAGGTAGTTGGGTGGCTGAGATAGAAGGATCACTTGAGCCCAGGAATTTGAAGCCAGTGAAATCTCATTTCAAAAAACAAAACCAAGACTATAGGTAGAGTTTGCTTAGCATGCCTGATGCCCTGGGATTTGATCTCTGGTAATGCAACACAATGACAACAAATCTCACCAAATTCAGTGTTTAAAAAGTGTTGCTTACAAGGCTGGGGCTGTAGGTCAGTGGCAGAGCACTTGCCTAACACGTATGAGACACTGGGTTCGATCCTCAGCACCACTTAAAGAAATTAAATAGCCAGATGCAGTGGCACACACCTGTAATCCCAGTGGCTTGGGAGCTGAGATAGCGGGACTGCTATTTCAAAGCCAGCCTCAGCAAAAAGTGAGGTGCTAAGCAACTCAGTGAGATCCTGTCTTTAAATAAAATACAAAATATGACTGGGGATGTGGCTCAGTGGTCAAGTAAGTGTCCTTGAGTTCAATCTCTGATACTGAGAAAAAAAAAAAAAAAGAAAGAAAAAGTAAAATAAAGCATGCTGTTCATCTACAGCTCCAAAAAAAAATTTTTTTTAAAGTTTTGCTTAAATTATAAATCCTTGCTAAAGGGAAATTATTCCCAATGTCATGTCCCTATTTTGCTTTGTATCCAGAAGAGCAGTATTTCATACTTAGAAGCTAGTTATTTTGCAAAGATTTTCTTGGAGTAGTAATCTAGATGTAGCTTCAAACAATTAGCTTTAAGAAGTTAGTCAATACAAGCATTATTTTCCTCATTATCATCTTTAGGTGCACACATTTATATCCTACCTTCTATTTTGTTTGAAATGTTTTAGCAATACTAGAACTTCTCATCCATATTGAAAAACTAAGGTGACCCTTAACATTTCTGCAGTTGCATTTACTTTATGCTGGTTTCATCCAATCTAAAATCTGATTGAATTCTAGCATAGAAGGTATACACAGCTGAATTGAGGGGAATGGGAAATGGCATCCATGAATATTGAGAACTGTGTATCCCTTTACAGATGGTGTGGGTGGTATGTTACATATTAGCTTATTTTATTCAGACCCTGTGGTTTGATCCTAAGGAAAGAGGCCCCTGTCACTTCCCTTAGGGTTGACCCCCCTTCCATAAATGGACAAACATTGGTCCTTACCACATGTGTTAAAATTTATACCACTCTATTTTTGAAAGGCCCAGGATTTAGGAAAGGGCCAAATTTCTCTTGTCAGGAAACAGCATAAGAATAGGAATGGTTCTCTTCTCTCTTTTTATGCCTTGCCATTAAAAGCCAGCTTCTACAGTATAAAATACATATTCACCAAAGTATTGAATAAGCAGGTTATTGGCATTTTTAAAAATCTTTAGGAAATCCAGCCTAAATGCCAAGGCAATAGAAGAGAAATATGAGAGTTGAGACGCTAAGTCTCTCCTGTATCAAAGTTCTCATTTCTACTATTTGTTCTGAGCTGGAAATGTTGAAAGGGATAACCATGAAGTAAAAGCTGCTATTGACCTGGAAAGCTGACTCTCAGTCTAGCAGGTGAAGGTGGAATGACAGATGTGAGCCATTTTGATTCTGGCTTTTAATAAGCACATGTGGAGTTGAAATAGGCCTCACCTAAGCGTCCAGCATCCTGCAGCTGAATCTTGAGCATTTCCATGGGGCAGGTAACCACCACTTGGCACATGCCAGCCCCACAGCCAGCCAGCATCTCCATCTTCAGGTTCCGCTGCATTCTATGGGAGCAGGAGTCAGCTCTTCAGACTCAGGGCAGAACTGCCCTACCACCTTGGCTCATCTACTACCTTCCCTCTGCAGTGGGGGAGGAAACCTTTCCATGAAGGGTACCTGTCTTTGTCACCATTGACTGCCACCCACCTCGCTGGGAAAATAGTCACCTGGGCCTCAGGTTCAGTCTCCTTAAACACTTGAGGCTAAATTTATAGCACAGTCTGCTAGGGAGACAACACCTGGATAGGAGTTGAAACCAGTAATAATGAAAGTACCTAGGTCAGGATTCTTCATTTTGTTTGTTTTTTGGCACTGGAGATTGAGCCCAGGAGCGCTTTACCATTGAACATATCCCAATCCTAGAGCAGGTATCTGATTCTCCCTGATCCCATATGTACTATCTCTAGGGCAATGGGAGGACAGAAATAGAAAGTGTCTCTGGGCCGATTTAAAAATTCATCAGCTGGTGGGTAAATATATCTGCAAACATACTCCACATGTTTTATATTCTTTCTCAATAGATTTCCTACCTCTCTCTTCCAAATTATACCAGTTCATTTATTTCCCTACTTTCCATCTGCCAAAACACACCAACCCTTAGCCATATGTGCACACATATTTAAATATGTGCTGACAGGTAAACTGAGACACACTCCCCAAGACAAGGTGAAAGATCTTTGTCCCCGACTCCATTTGGCCATACCCATCTTCCATGAGCAGCTGCCGGAAGAAATCGTTGGCTGCCAGTTTGATGGCCTTCTCTGGAGTGACTAAGGTGAGGTTTACTGCAGCCCCTGGAGATGAAAAACAAAGGTGAGCAACTATGACTGTCCCCAAAGTGACAATTTCCAGAGGCTCCCTCTCACAGACAACACACACAGCCTGGGAAGGCAAAGCTTTGGGGGTGTCACGAGCCAAGCAGGGACACTTGGCCTATTTTATTTAAGCAAATTTACTTTTCATTTCCTCTCTATATTTTCTTCTTTCTAATACATTTGTTTCCTTTATGGACACACATCCAGTTATCAAAAAATCACCTTGGGGCTGAGGCTGGGGCTATGGCTTAGCAGTTGTGCACTTGCCTGGTATGTGTAAGGCTCTGGGTTCAATTCTCAGCACTGCATATAAATAAATAAAGGTCTGTCAATAAAAAAAAAATCTTATTTTTGCCCTTGCTGGTGCTTTCCACCTTTAAGGATAAATAAGTACTCATTAGTCCTGGGCAATTAACAGGGACTGGGTTTCCATTACTCTGTATGACACTAGCTCAGTCCCAGCATGGTTCACACAGATTTTATTTTATTTTATTGCTCAAGGATAACGACACATTAGCTCTTTCTCAAAACTAGTATAGGGAGCCAAGCATGGCGATGTATGTCTGTGATCCCAGCAGCTCAGAAGAGGCTGAGGCAGGAGGATTGCAAGTTCAAGGCCAGCCTTACCAAGTAAGCAAGGTTTTAAGCTACTTAGGGAGACTCTGTTGCAAAAGAAAAAATAAAAATGGCTGGGAATGTGACTCAGTTGTTATGTGCCTGGGTTCAATCACCAGTACAAAAACATGACATCAAAATAAAACAACCTTGCCTAGGACCTGTTTTCCAATGGTGCTACTGAAGAGGACAGCAGCAGCAGCAGCAGTGTAGGATCATGCTAGGGAAGAGCTCGAAGTCCTTTTCACTCTGTTCCTTTCAGCCTTTCCCTTTCTGCTACTAGTAGTTGGATGTCCTATCAGCTCTGTAGGGACACAGAGGGCAAGGGAGGTGGGAGGGAGGCAGGTTAAGGCTCACTTGCTTAGGGAATGGATGGAACCTGGGGCTTCTGGGTTCCACAGTGGCTCACTGGTCCCCCAGAAAGCCTTAACAGGAAACAGATATCTCCACCTCTGTCAAAGAGCTTATCAAAGGCTCATGAAAAGTTAATGTAGTCCAGCATCATCTGATAGCCCAAGCTGTTCCAACAGCTCCCTGGAAGGAACATCCATGCCCAGGGTGCTATAAACTCACAAGGCTGGGGCCTCTATGTCACACCCACTGACCTCACCATGCCAAGTCAGGTCTCCTCTGGGATGCCTGATAAACTCACCTCTGTACATGCCCAAGAAGCCCTCTGCACGTGCTGTCTTCATTAGGCAATCTATCCTAGAAGCAGAGGCCAGAAGCGGAAATTAGTGATGCCCAGGAGGCTGCTTCCTCATGGACAGGATGAGGCACATTTGCAAACCTCTCCCCAAAACCCAATCTTTCCCCATGCCCTGATCTTTCTGGGCACACCCCAGTTGACCATGCTCCCCAAATCCCTCCACCATCAACACACACCCTGAAGAAACTCTGCAAAGGATGAGGCCCATTGCCCTTCTCCCCAACCACACCACTCCCCACCAATACCTACATTCCTTTGTACATGTCTTTTCCATGCTGGTTCTGCAGTCGTGTCTTGGCCAAGTCGATGGGGAACACACAGGTCACCCCCACGAGCCCTGCCACACCTCCATTGATGAGTTTTGCTGCAATACTAGCTCACGGGGAGGACAGAAGCACATGAGGGAAGATGGCTGCTCACAGTCACATGCAACCAGGATTGGGTGTGGGGGACAGGAGAGCAGGAATAGGGCAGAGAAAAAATAGAACGGCAGCTGCAAGGCCTTCAGTCCTGGTGGGACTTGTCTAGAGACTCTGTCCTTGGCCTCCTACCCCAGCCTGACTGGCTGTCACTCTCCCGCAAGCTCCAGTTGGAGATGCTGCAGGTAGGGATCTGAGAGCGCCCGGTCTCCTCCTCCAGGAGGCCTGCACTCACCAGGTCTGAACCATCTTGGACTAACTCACCAAGCTGGGATGCAGCAAAGGCTAGTGGAAAAAAGGCCCACTCTGCCCTCTGGAGCCTCACAGGGGAGTTGCAAGCCTTGGCTCAGCCTTGGGACATGTCCTCTGGAATTGCCACCAAAGGTTGCTACCTATTCTCTGACTTTTCTTCACCCTTGGAGCCACATGTGGCAAAGTTTCAAACTGTAACTTTACTTCCAGCTTAATGTCAGGCAGACAATGCAACTCCTGACTGTTTACTTGAGCAAATTATCTCAATTCTCTGAGCCTGTGTGAAACTCACCTAAGGAATTATATGAGGATTAAATAAACTAAGGCATTTGGTAAATGATAGCTATTGTTAAAAATAAGAGGACACACAATTTTTACAATGAGGGCTGCTAGTCATCAGCAGATAACTAAGGTTAAAGTTTTGAGATTATCTAATTCTAGCCAAAGCAAGATAGATAATAGAGCCCCTTCATCCTGGGTAAATATAGGAGTTTAGAAAGATAGAACATAGAAAAAAAAGCTTTTTCCGATTCCTGGGAACCTAGTAAAATTTTGTTAATTATCAAGCCAGAGGCAGATGTGAGCACAATATTTGGAGATAGATTACCGGGAAGTGATAAAGTAGATAATAAGAGTTTTCTCACAAAGCAATCTTGATAAACAAGCAGGAAACTTTGTGAAAACAAACAGAACTATGATTTAAATTTTGCAATCTGAGATGATGCACCCAATTACAAATTATTTTAACAGTATTATATATTTTTATATATATTTGTATTATATATTTGTATGTGTGCGTATTTTGGGGGGAATTGTGCATGTTTCTGGGGCAGGGTGCGGATGATCATCTCATTTATTCAGGGGGAGACACTGAGATGGGCTGTTACCGCAGCTTACCTCAGATCCTGGTTGGACATTCTGCAGGGACTGTGGCCAGTTGGTGGGTCCAAAGACACAAGGCTGTTGGCTCTTCCAAGTATGCTCTTTCTGGACTACTGGAAGGAAAATAAGTGGTGTCTGTTTCCTTGACTTCAGCTTCCCACACAGGCAACAGGCAAAGAACTGTCAATGAGTTGACGCTGCCAGCTTTCACTGTGTTCCAAGACCTTTTGGACTTTTGGGATTTAGATCAGAATCCTCAACCTTTTGTACTTTAGAGATCAGATAAGAATGGTGTAAGAGAGAAGAATAAGCAACTTCATGAGTCCCTGAGTTTGATCCCCAGCAAAATCACCAAATAAGCAACAATCTCAAATGGAGGCTCTGGGAGCATTTTGGACAGAGAACTTGGAATAGCAAAGGAGGCTCACAGGATAAAAAATAGGAATTGCAAGGAACTGCTAAGGATCAGGAATCCCTCGTGAGGTATTCAAGAACCAAAGTAAAACACTGGTTCTAACGTTTATTCTCAAACTGTGTTTTCTAAACTTCCTATGACACTGAGATGTCTCTGGATTTATTGATAGGTGACACATATGGAAAACACCAGGGACGGTGCTCAGGATGTGGGAGCAATAGTAACGGTAATAAAAGGAGGGCTTCTGCCTTTTTTTTTTTTCCGAGAGAATTTTTAATATTTATTTTTTAGTTCTCGGCGGACACAAAATCTTTGTTGGTATGTGGTGCTGAGGATCGAACCCGGGCCGCACGCATGCCAGGCGAGCGTGCTACCACTTGAGCCACATCCCCAGCCCAGGGCTTCTGCCTTAATCCCAGAGGAGAAGTACCAGAAAGGGTCCTGATACTGGGAGGAGGCTGGCCTGAGCTCCGGGGGGCTTCTTGTTCCCAGCTTTCCTGTAAGCTGCCCTCCTGTGCTCTTTGCTGTACCCCAGGGATGTCAGCAATCCTTTTTTTTTGCCTCTAGGTATTTTATTATGAGGAAGAAAAGAGAGAGAAGGAAAGAGAGGGAGCAATCTTTTTTGGAGGTTTATTAATACATTAAAAAAAAATTCATTGAATGCCATGCACTATTCCAGATCTAGGGATACACAATAGTAGTGAACAAAGACTAAGATTCCAGCTTTCAGGGACTTTAATTTGGGGAGACATATAAATGAGAAAAATAAAGACTGAAGGTATTGGAGAATGATAACTATGGAGGAAAACTGGCATGGTGGTGCATGTCTGTAATCCCAGAGGCTCCAGAGAGTGAGGCACTAAACAACTCAGTGAGACCCTGTCTCTAAATAAAATACAAAATAGGGCTGGGGATGTGGCTAAGTGGTTGAGTGCCCCTGAGTTCAATCCTTGCTACAAGAAAGAAAGAAAGAAAGAAAGAAAGAAAGAAAGAAAGAAAGAAANAAAGAAAGAAAGAAAGAAAGAAAGAAAGAAAGAAAGAAAGAAAGAAAGAAAGAAAGAAAGAAAATGTCAGTGGACACTTGAACAAGAAAGATTCATGGAGCAGATGATCCTAAAACAGGGAGTGAGGAGTAAGTCATGTAGATATCTGAGGAGAGCATTTGGGGTACAGCAAGCATGGCTGGGGATGGAGCTCAGTGATAAAGCACTTGCCTAGCCCTGGGTTCCATTGCTAGCACCATAAAATGAGAACCAAAACAAAACCAAAATGCAAAAAGAGCTGGGGCTGTGGCTCAGTGGTAAAGCCCTTGCCTAGCATGTGTGAGGTATGGGGTTAGATTCTCAGCATCACATAAAAATAAATAAATAAAAACAAAGGATCATCCACAATTTAAAATTTTTAAACTCACAAAAGACCAAGTTGTTGTTGTTATTATTATTATTATTATTATTATTATTATTATTATTATTATGTATCAGGGATTGAACTCAGGGGCACTTGACCACTGAGCGCCAGCCCCAGCCCTATTTTGTATTTTATTTAGAGACAGGGTCTCACTGGGTTGCTTAGTGCCTCACTGTTGCTGAGACTGACTTTGAACTCACAATCCTCCTGTCTCAACATCCTGAACCTCTGGGATTACAGGTGTCCACCAGCACGCCTGCCTGAGACCAGTTTAATTATTGCAGGAAGGGACTGTCCAAGAGAAGGGTGCTGAGAAATGGTTAAATCATGGAAGGGGATGTGGCTCAGTGATAAAGTACCCCTGAGTTCAATCTCCAGTACCAAAAAAAAAAAAAAAAAAAAAAAAAAAAAAAAAAAAAAAAAAAAAAAAAAAAAAAAAAAAAAAAGGAAGGCAACACATAGAAAATTCTTTTTTTTTTAACACATAGAAAATTTTCTGATGAGCAAGATGTGAAAGATAAAAGGAACAGTTAAAGAGTGAAGTTTTTATGGGAAAAATTTCAGTTTGGGTTTGTGATGTGGAACTTGGATCAGTTGGCAAAACAAGAAAAACTTCTGCAGAGAGATTCAAAAAAGTGAAACAAGCACATCTGAAGAAACAAAAGAGACATTCATTTTCATTCCTGATACTGTTTAATCCTTGTTTCTAGTTCATTCCTGGATGCCAGCGGCATTCCTGTCTTGGATTCTGTGACTCTTACCTGTCTTGACATTAAATTGACCTCATTTCATATCTTGCTAGAATTGCTTTCTGATATTTCTAATCACAATAGTGTAACCTCCCAAATTTGCATTAGGAGTGAGAATTTGCATTCCAGATCCCAAATTCTGGGATCAGCTGAGAAAAGAGGGCACAGGCTGGAGAATTTGCCTCTACAGTTAAGGAGCTGTCAGTCTTTGTGCAGTCACATACCATCTCCTGTTTTTTGTTTTTAGTATCAGGGATTGAATCCAAAGATGCTTAACAACTGAGCCACATTCCCAGCCCTCTGGTCTGCTAAGTTGCTGAAGCTGGATTTGAACTTTCAATTCTCCTTGACTCAGCTGAAATTACACGTGTGCCCCACCGTGACTAACTACCTAACATCTCTTGAAGCTCAAACTGTATACCTCCACTTGGTGGCAAAATATCAAGATGGTAAAGTATATTGGCTGTTGAGATATTTAATAAGTAGTTAAGAGAGAAAGACATGTTCCAAAAGTTGATGGGAGATGGAGTTGGCTGGGGGATGGAGCTCAGTGGTAGAGTGCGCGCCTAATATGTGCAAGGACCTGGCTTCTATCTTTAGCACCCTGCCTCCCATCAAAATCATAAGCTCCATCTCATGTCCTCTATATGCAGCGTCTTGTCATGACATGTAATTGTTTTGCTTTGGGAAGGCAAGTGTATTTACAACTTTATATGTGATATTCAATAACTGTGATAATTGTGGCTATGTAGGAAATAGTTTGTTTCCATGTCCTTAGCCATTAAAAGGTGGAATTGGGGTTGGATAACTATCTTGAATTACCACTTTTTCAGGAATTGCCTTTTCTCCCTTACCATTCCTACTGGATGCAGGGTAACTGCCATGTTTCTAAGATATCAGCTCCATCCACAGGTTAATATGGTCCTCTAAGCATGAAAACCAGACTTGAGCAAGGTCACTTCATCCCTTTAGATATATTAGAGAATATATCTAAAGTATCTTTCAGGAAATTTTTTTTTCTGTAACATAAAACTTGGATCTGTTTTATGGCTTGGGAAACAGAGAGGTGGATTTGTCATAAGCAGTAGTAACTAAGGTACAGAGCTAAAGATGAAAGATCCTGTTCTGATGGTGTTTGAAAGCCAGATGACAGTGACCCACCTTCATTCCTGACCTTGAGTAACAAAGGGATATCCCACTATCCTTCTAATGAATTGACTGTCTTAAGCCAATTAGAGCAGTTTTTGTAATTTGTTAACCAAAAAGTCCTTAACTTAGGGAAAACACACCTCAAATTCCACTTACTAGTAATTGAATGGCTTAGAGAGTGAATGCTGTAAATGTTCCATGACGTGTAAAACCATTATTGGCTGACTGGAAGGAGCTTAAGAAGTGGGCATAAGGGCAATTTTTAGAGGAGGAGGAGGAGGAGAGGGGAGGGCAGTGTGGACAGAGCACAGCACGACCAAAGGTGAGGCAAACAGGGTTTAGAGACTGCCTCCCCAGACTGTGGGAAAGGAGGCTAGAGACACAGATCAAGCAGTTGCAGAGAATTATGACAATCAAATATAAATTGTGGCCCCCGTCCCCAGCAAAAAAGAAAACTGTATTTGATTCTGGAGGGTGTGAGAAAACACTGAATGCGTTGGAGGAGGAAAATACCATACCAAATGTGGTATGTAACAACTATTCTCGAAGAACAGGTTGAGGGAAAGAAGTTTGGGGTGAGAGACCATCATGTTACTGTGATGGAATGGAGAAGGAAGGATCAAGTAGAACCAGGGAGGCCTGTAGGGATCATCCTAAAGAGGAAAAGGGCCTGGACTTGATAACTGTCCAGGGCTAAAGAAGAGGGAAGAACTAGGAATCCAACTCAAGTCTGACATCCGAAGGACTGGACAATGAGGAAAGAAAGTCAGGAAAGGAAGCTCCTGCAGCAGTGGAGAGAAGAGGATAATCCAGGCTTTGGGATGGCCTCCTCCAGCCATAGTGGGAGGTGGTGAGAAGAACACCCGCTGACTGTGCCCATCCAGCTGTATCATTCTCTCAGCCTGGCCCAGGCCTGGCCTTTGGCCTCCTTCCAGCCCCATCTCCACACCTTCTCTCATTCCCTCCACCACTGCAGATCCTATTTGGTGAATAAGGAGGTGGCTAAGGATGGTGGTAGCAGAGTAAAAGATGCAGACAGGTTTGGGTGGGAGCTGCCTAGGTCTTTTCCCCACCATGGAACAGCAGAACTCATCTGTGATCCCTCCTGTCTGCTCAGCTGGGAGAGAGCTCATTATCACCACTTCAGGAATGATGAATTATGTTTTGTTACTAATGAATATTTGTGCTATTATTTAAAGTAGTAGGAAACAATTAGAAAACTCTGTAGTTTCTCAGAATTGATTTTTTAAAAAAAATTTTGTAGTACTGGGAATTGAACCCAGTACTACAAAATGAACCTCACAGACAGGAAAAACACATCTTTCCCACCAAATCATGCCAGCACCATCCAGCCAGAGTTGGACTGCCTCCTACAGCTCCCTGCTTGCAAACTTGCTCCCCTCCAACCTATTCTCCAGCATAGGGTGCACTGGGTTTTGCTTTGCCATTCAAGCACTGCTCTGCCAGAGTCCTTCACAGACTTCCCTCGATTCTTAGGTTAGATTCTTGCTCCTTACCCCAAACCACCTGCCCAGCAGGCCCCACTGTCCTAAATGGCTGCACCTTCAGTCTCGGCCCTCCTGGCCCTGCCACCCTGAACTTCTGCTTCTGGAGATATATCTTGTACCTTAGCCTTGAACATACTGTCCCTTTTGCCCAGGTCACTCTTGCCCCATCTACTTTTGATGAATTACAAATTGTTCTTTGTGCTTCAGCTCAGACGTCACTTCCTCCCCTAAACCTTTCAGATAGTCCTCCTGTCTTGGCTGGGAGCTTCCTTTGTGATCCCCTGCAACAGAGTTACAGTATGCACTGTGTTATATTCTTATTGACCTGTATCTCCATCCAAACGAGAAATTATTTGGACTAAGACAGTCTCAGGGTTGTTATGTCCAGGCCCTAGCACAGAGACGCATTCAACAAATACTGTTCTAAGAACCATGAGGGCAACAAAAGCCTTTGACTTTATCACAAAACAATGTACTTGTCAGCTATCCTCATTTCTTCACTTTATGAGAACTTGGGCCATGTCCCTATGATCCTCTTTTTTTTTTTTTTTAGTTGCAGATGGACACAATACCTTTATTATTTTTTATAACTTATTTTTTTATGTGATACTGAGGATCAAACGTAGTGCCTCACACATGCTAGGCAAGTGCTCTACCACAGAGATACAAGCTTAGTACCCCCACTTCCTCTTAATAGCAGAATGAGAGTTCTCCCAGAATCGCTGAGGCTGGCCTTGAACTTGTGATCCTCCTGTCTTAACCTCCCAAGCCACTGGAATCATAGATGCATGCCGCTCTGCCTGGAAGGAGCCATTTCTTCATTTATTGCCAAGAAAATAACTGCTTCCTTAGTTCCCTGTTACCAGGGTGCCCCTGAGTCAGGAAACAGCCATTTCCTCCCGTCCCCTTCTTATCCTGAGCAGTGAGATGGGAGGCCCTTTCCCACTGACTGCTCTTCCCTTTCTCTACATGTTTATTTGCTAGAAGAATCTTTTCCTACCAACTTTAAGCTTGACACACACAAGACCAACACTTACCACCTTCAGGAAGAAGGATGCAGGCCAGATTACTGTGGGACTGCAGAGAAGAGGTGGCTTATAATGCTGGCCAGCAGCAGCTGGTTTTTCTGGTGTTCTGTGAGGGTCCCCCCTCCTCATCCCTGTGAGAGCCCTTTCACACTGCAATTTCCCAGCCTCTTCCCAGACTCACTGCACCTTCAGACAGGTTGGTTTGAACCAGACTCCAGAGAGGCTACAACACAGCCAAGCCAAATATCATTAGGCAACCAGCAAGTGGCTCTTTACTTGGTTGTCAGTATGACTAAAAGCTCAGGCTGGACAATGATTTGAGCAAGGCCACTTGGGGTAAGGACACTCTCCGCCCACTCAGAGACCTGGAAGCCAGGATGTGGACAAAGAAAGGCAACTCAATGTACTGCAAACACTCCCCAGGACACTTGGTGCCAGGAGCTAGCCTCTGCTGCTTGTTCTCATGTTGCTCTAATTTTTGCACTGCTGGGAGGCCTTTTAAAATTTTAATTAATTTATTTAGGGTACCAGGGATTGAACTAGGGGGAGGCACTCAGCCACTGAGCCACATCTCCAGCCCTATTTTGTATTTTTATTTAGACAGGGTCTTACTGAGTTGCTTAGCGCATTTCTGAGTTGCTGAGACTGGCTTTGAACTCGTGATCCTTCTGTCTCAGCCTCCTGAACCACTGGGATTACAGGCGTGTGCCACTGTGCCTGGTTCCTTTTTTATTTTTTGAAGCAGGGTCTTGCTAAATTGCCTAGGCTGGCCTCAACTAGAGATCCTCCTGCTTCAGCCTTGGGGTTACTGGGTGTGCAACCACACCCAGCTTCTCATGCACTTCTCTAATAGCAGGTTACAGACTGTCTCACTGACCTGCCAGGCAACCTCCCCTATCTATGGGAGAACAGTACATTGTTTGGGCACCTTCTCTTGTGCTCAAGAATCTTACAATCTGGTCAGGCATGGTGGCACACACCTGTAATCTCAGGAGCTTAAGAGGCTGAGGTCCTAAGCAACTTAGTGAGACCCTATCTCAAAAAGCATAAAAGGTTGGAGATATGGCTCAGTGCCTCTGGGTTCAATCCCTGACTCCCTACCCCTTGCCCCCAAATCTTACAAATCACTCTGAACTCAATCATATGCTGTGTGAATTCAGGATTTCTTCCAATTTGGAGAACTGGGAAGGTTTCAGGGAGGAAGTGGCAACTGATTTTGGGCTAGAAGGCTGGTGAAGAGGTTGATGAGACTGTGAAAGAAGGGCAGCGGTGTCAAACTGGCACCCATCTTCTAGAACTTTAGTGGCAAGTTGTCCAATTTGGAGCAAGGGATGAGAAAGCAGAGAGAAAAGCTAGTGCACTATATTGGGTCCGGATGATACACTGCCAACAGTATGGGAAACATAAGGAACTATCATGGCACAGATATCACCTGCAGAGATCCAGGTTCACATCTGAGCTCCCAAATTCCTGGCTCTCTCTCTTTAGGCAAGTTACTTACCATTGCACAAGGGGATGTGATACCAGATTTTCAGTGAGGTTTACATGAGGGTGCAATGGACTGCTTTTAACCTGGTCCTGGTTTACTGTTTACTAGTTGTGTGATCTTAAACAAGCTACTTAACTTTCCTGAGACTGCTTATCCATCTATGAAATGAATCTAGGGCACTCACTACAGTGTCAAGCACATAACAGGTGTTCACTATGTGATTGTGTTTTCTTTTCTTTGGTGGGCAATGGAAGCTATTGAGTAAGGGTCCAAAGGGCACCTTCAGGTTTATGGCAGTGCCAGTGGTTTGAATAGATCATGAAGAGTGATTTCTGTGAAGAACCAATGGGCTAAGCAGATAGATGACTAAACATGTCAGGGACAGACACCAGGTGTGAAGCACAGGCATCAGGAAGAAGGTGGACTACCACTCCAGTTAAGAGAGTCCAGGGCAGGGTGAAAGGAAAGGGGAGGGAAAATTGGCTCTTGAATCTGAATTAAAAGTGGCAGCTGCAAAAGAATGGATAACAATGTGTAAAAGTAGGGGTTCTACTTCACAATGTGACTATTATGGAAAAAACAAAAACAAGACACCCAGAAACAACAAATGTTGGTAAAGATGTAGAGAAGTTAGAATCTTGATGCACTGCTGGTGGGAATGTGAAATTGGAAAACAATATGAAGTTCCTCAAAAAATTAAAAACAGAAAAACCACAGGCTCGAGCAATTGCACTTTTGGGTTGACCCAAAAGAACTAAGAGTCTGAAACAGATATTTGAACACTCATGTCCACAGTAGCATTACTCACAGTAGCCTAAAGTTGGAAGCAACCCAAGTGTCCATTATGGAGGAGAGAGTAAGAAAAATGTGGTCTATACATACAATGGAATATTATCCAGCATTAAAAAGGACATTCTGACACATGCTACAAAATAAATGGACCTTGAAAACATTACACTAAGTGAAATTAGCCAGTCACAAAAGGACAAAAATTTTGATTCCACTTAAATGGAGGTAGTCAAATTCAGAGACAGAATGTTCCAGAGGATAGGGGGAGAGGAGAATGAGAGGTGAGTATTCCATTTTCAGCTGGAGATTAAAAAGTTCTGTATGGTAGTGATAGTTGCACAAGACAAATGTACCTTGAAATGTTCACTTAAAATGGTCAAAGAAACAAACCCCATCATAAACAATGGTAGAACATGTAAGTGGAATATCAAAATTTAGAATTTGGAAAGGATAACTGAAAGATGGCAAAGAAGTTTAAATTAAGCATAGGAATTTGAATCTCCACAGAATAAAATCATCCCAAGAGAGAAGCCTTAGGAAGAAAAGGATAGATCTAAGCTGGCTGCAGCGGCACTACTGTACTCCCAGGTACTCCAGTAGCTAAAGCTACTTGGGAGGTGAGACAGGAGGATTGCAAGTTTGAGGCCAGCCTGGGCAACTTAGCGAGACCCTGTCTCAAATAAAATTTTCAAATGGTTGGCTATGCACCTTGTGGTAAAGTACCCCTGGGTTCAATCCCCACTTCCACAAAAAGAACAAGTGAGAGATCTGGGAGGCCGCAGCAGCACCTTCTTCTCATCTGAAAGATCAGTCTCCAAAGAAGGTAGCCCCAACTGCTAGGTGCTACAGAGAGGATCTGAGGGCTGAGAATAGATCTGATTGAGGCTGTCTGTAAGCAAGACACTAGCTCTAGAAAGGTAGTAGGGAGTCAAACCACAGGAGATGGCAGTAGGAGGGAAAAGACTTTTTTTTTTTTTTTTTTTTTAACAGAGGGAGATTGGATGAAGGTAGAGAAAGAAACATTTAAATGGAGGAAACAGGGCCATCACTTATACTGAAGGAAGAATCCAAGGAAAATGAGTCTAGAATCCAAAGCATAATTGAGCCTAAATGTTGGTTAGGGGCATGTTATTAGGAGAAAGAAGAGATTTGGAGAAGCGTGCGTGTGCACGCACGCGTGCGCACACACACACACAGCCTTCCCTCTTTAGCAAGGATGGAGTGTGGCCTTCCTGCTAAGTGAACCAGCAGGGTTTAGGAGTTTGTTAGAGAAGCTCATCTGAAGCCAGTCCCCAGACATGGTGAAATCAAGCAAGATCCTGATGACACAAGTTTTGAGTCACTATTCTGCACAGTGGTTTATATGTTTGCACAATAAAATGACCTGGGGGAACTTTAAAAAAATCCTGAAGCCCAAGCTGCACCCAGATCAATATAACCCTAGTATGTTGAGTTAGGGCATCTGATAACCCTTAATGAGACAACCTAAACTGGCAATCATTGGTAAGTGTGGCAAAGTTATTAAGTTTGTTGAATAAATTGCAATAGCAGGAGTTCCCACAGCAAGCAAAGAAGATTGTCAAATAGCACACGACTGCAATATGCACTTATTCTGGGATAGGGCTGGTCTGTTAGCTTTAGACTCCCCAAAGCCCCTGGCAGTGCAGAAAAGGGGACGGAGAAGGCACAACTAGGAGTGAGATTTGATGGGCAGAAAGGGATATCCCAGAGGTCAGATCAGCATGCCAGGTAGGGCTGGGGCAGGGCAGACAACAAGGGAATTCCTCAACTTTGCAGTCTTTCTCCTACATTCCTTCCCTGTGTGTGTAATAGAGGGATAACCATTACCTTTATTTCAGGTTCACCAGCAGACTGTGGGGTGAATTTCCTATTTTAATCAGAAGGTGGCTGGCTGTGCCATCTGTCAGGTTTGAATGATATATATTCAGGTCAGAGGAGGTGTGCTTGAGGTCTAAAATGCATGTGTCAGGCATTCCCACAGGTCTGTGCTCTCTGTGTGCATTTCTAACTGTGTGTGACAACAGGTAGCTGAGCCCCTTCCTCATCAGTCTGATTAAGCAGATCTAAGTGATGCCACAACTCGAATTTCCAAGTTCCTAGGTAAGTCGATGCTGCAGGTCCAGGACTACATTTTGATCAGTAATGTGACCACAAGAAGCTAAAGGAGTTGAGGTGATCACCACTTCTCCCACCACCACATCTCTCAAGTTCCAGTTCTGTACACCTTTGCCACGTCTCCGGCAAATGTTTCTTTAGAACTGCACAAAGTATCAGAATTACTGATGGTTCAATGTTCTGAATTATGTCATTGTCACTTTAGGCTCACYTTGTGAGGGGCAAGAATGAGGAATGAGAATGCTCCTTGGAATAAGCTATATAGATACAGTCCCCACACAGCTGAGAGCCTGGCTCCTCAAGTCTGGTCTGGAGGTCTGCCCAAATTAAATGGTCTGAGACCACCAACACTTGGCCTTCCTGCTACAATTAAATAGCACGAAGTGAACAAAGAGATTGTTCCTTAATCTACTATTGTAGCTAAGCAGTGTACTCCTTCCAGCACCTTACTGTTATCCAGACTTTCTGTATACTGTATTTTTTTCTATTATAATACAGAAAAATAATAGAGTGAAGGAACCTATCTTTTCCCCCTTTGTATTATTAGCAGACAGGCAATGTGCCAGACACTTGGTGAGTATTTACTTTTTAATAGCCTGCACTCTGTATGCTTGGGTCCTATACCTGTACATTAAACAAACTGTGACCAAAATGTTTTTTAAAAATTGCACTTGTCGGGCTGGGGATGTGGCTCAAGCGGTAGCACGCTCGCCTGGCGTGCGTGCGGCCCGGGTTCGATCCTCAGCACCACATACCAACAAAGATGTTGTGTCTGCCGAGAACTAAAAAATAAATATTAAAAAAAAAAAAATAGAAAAAAAAAATTGCACTTGTACCAATCATGTTCAGATTTTTTCTCGTCATTAGTTCCCAAATA